CATGAGAAACTAGTAGACGGTAACAGTAATAATATGTAACAACATATTGTATTATGTTATAACTCTAGATAGTGTAAACTTAGCATTAATAAATATGTGAAATGGTAAATATATGATATAAAAATAAAGAAACCATAAAGTAACGGTGACACAGCTGGGAATACTTTATATATCGTATATTTGCCATTCCACATATTTATTAATGCTAATTTTACACTATCTACAGTTATAAGATACTTCTACTAGCTTCTTATATTCTTTTCTCATCCCTGATGAAGGCTTAAACTTAGAAGAAACTTAGGCCGAAACATTTTTTATTTGACCGAACACCCCAACCAACGTCAACCATTTTAAAATAATTAGTACGAATTATCTTAGGTTCTACCAATTATTACAAGTATATAATATGTGTTCTTAAGTGCCTCCCGACAATTAAACTGAGAGCAGTGTAAATAACGTAATTATCACTTTTGTTCCTAGAATAATTGCAACGAAGGAATCTCAAAAGTCAATTGCTACTTGTAGTTTTTAATTTCGTCTTAAAAAGCCAGGAGATGCTGAATCAAACACGTCCATGCAAAGAACAGTCATCTCTCAAACATGAGACCAAATCAGATCAAATCAGTTGACACAATAATCAGTGCCGTACCATTAGAAGTCTAGAACGGATTTTTTAGTAGTACTTTTGGCGCTACTGCTCTCGAAGGGCATGGACCTCTTCACAGATAGCCTCCTACCAGGGTGGTCTGTCGACAGTAACAGCCCTCCATCTTGTAACTCCGAGTAGCCGTAGGTCTGCCTGAGGCTGTTAGGCATACTAAACAAGTTTAAGCCAAAACAAGACGTCATAAAGGATGGGAACGGCAACTTTCTGAACAGCCAGAGAGATATAATGAGCAGACGGACTCGGCATTTTCAGAGTCTGCTGATCGAGGAGGAAGAAGACGTTAATGAAACTCCGCAGGACCTCGAAATGAATCAGTCCCTAGAAAAAGACGAAGGAGGAGGCATAGAAGCACCTCCTGAAAAGGAAGAGGTTTTGGAAGTTCTAAAAAAAAAAAAAAAATTCATAATTGAAAGGAATACCATTTTTTTTTTTAATTTAAAAATGTTCGTTTCCGAAATATAAGACTTTAAATTTAGTTTTATTGTAGAGAAGTACAATATTAAGTTTTACATATAATTATTATTCAATTTATTCCACGTATCAATACTATTTAAAACATTTATTTTACTATACTATTCTATTATTATATATTTATTATACTATTCAATATTTATTTAAAACAGGGACTTAATAAAACCTGAACGACTTAACACGAGTAACGAGTGATTTGAGGTTCGGGATTGACGGTTTGGATGATTAAAAAAAATACCAGAACAACTGGCCATTCAATATCTATATTTTAGATTTTTTTAACTTTATTGTTGTTAAGCTCCCTCTTAGTTTAAATTAATCTTCGAATGAAGCTTAACTATGATTTGAATTAAACAAATTGTAATTTAAAAAGTAATTTAAGTATAAGTATTTAAAAAAAATTTAGATTAAACATTTATGTTTTCAATATTTATATATATTAATAAACAAATTAAAAAATTAAACCAATTTTACAATTACAATAAACAAATTAAATAATAACTTATATGTAAATTAAAATAATAATATGCTTAGTATTTAAGAAATATTTAATGATAAAAAAATGATGATAGCCTACTAAAACAAAATAGAAAATTGATACGACTACCCCAATATTAATCGAAATAGAGACTAAAACTACTAATGAATTCCCATTCAACCCTGAGAGGATGGAGATGCGACTTAATGTTATTTTGGGTTTCTCCCTGGTTGAGCCAATGATAGACACTCCTTAACTACCTACTTGCCCCTACGAAGTTGACTTGAACCAAGGACTTGTTTATAGCTAGGGCTAAAATCCATAACAGTTTAAGTATAATCTATTAACCAGTCTATCGAATATAAACAACGTAAGCTATGGTCCAAAAATATAAATATAATTATTAATTTATTTCATTTTATGAGATAAAGCTCCTGGTTTCTGGGCGTTTGAATAGCTAAGGTTTATGTACATGACATAGAAGAAAAAAAAATTGTACAGGAATAAAAATTTAAATCTATAACTTATTTTTTAATTACTTCCAGGGAGACCGAACTAAATTTGGTTAAAACTAAAATTACTTGAATATCACTAAAATAATCTAAATATTTACAAGACCCAATATGAATAATACAAAAACCAGTAACAATGAGAGAGTCAGGAAACGAGAAATATGATGAGTTATGTTCCATTCTTGAAATTACTCGAGTTATCACAAATATATGTTGCAGTTACAAATCGCAATTGGCAATCAGTTCCTCCGTTAAGGTCAAATCTATCTGATTTGCATTCCTGATAAAGAGAATCAGTAATTAACAATTGCAACGTCCAAAGCCAAATCGCAAATATTTCACAAAGAGTTTAAATGTAATTTATATAAAATATAAAGCTAATTTGTCGTTAATTTCAATATATAAATTATCAATCGGCGCCCACTCAAGAAATGCCATATTCTAGATCAGAAGTCTCCAAATATGTTTCGCTATTTTTTTTCTAATTTCCTAGTATTTTTTAAAAATTTATTTACAAAATATAAAATTTCGTAAATCACTCAAATACAAGTTTTATTCCATAAGTTGTTTTTCTTTGATCTAACTACGGAGTAATTTATTAAAATATATCTCAATTTTTGACAAAAATCTCCGTTGCAGATTTTCGACCATATCACGTACCAAGTTATTAAGTCCTGTCATTAATTTGACGCAAAATTTGATATTCTTTAATTTCGTTGAGAGTGACTTTTTCGCTTGGATGCACTGTTCAGTAGTTATTGGTGAAAAAATAACAAAGGTGTTTAAAAATCAAGGTGTTTTGCTCGCCTGCGTTACATAAATTCTCCTGAGGTAGTCCGTGTTAGCATTCTACTTTTTTGCTTCCATATATTCAAGTTTAAAAAATTATAACTTCCACCACATTGTTCGTAACATTATTACACCGGTTTCGACCCTCAACTGTTTGGCCTAATATTTTTTTAAATCAAAATAACTTACAGTTTCTTTATTCACATTCAAAACTTCTTCTGCTATGCAGAGGTGCCCAAAATGGGGTTTTATGACGAAGGTTGCGCAATCAAAATTTTTGAGGTGGCAAATTTCGACGGGTTTTTGGAGTTTTGAGGGGGGAGGGCACATTTTTACGGGGTTATGAATTTTCGAAATTTTCAGAATAAGGGACAAAGGAAAAACATGGAACTGACAGTAACAAGTGTAATAGGGTATGATACACGATTTTTCTAATTTTACTTCCCCTTGCTCTGATTTTAAGAAAAGAGAGCAATAAAATATCTTGGGAGGGGAGGGATGGTAGGTTCTTACGCAATCGATCTTGGGAGGGATGGGCACCACTGATGTTATGAGTGCTCTTTTTAGGCCTGCTATTTTAAATACAGTCCATAGCATAATATGAAATTTATTGATTTAAAAAAAAAAGTTGATGTTTCGATTTTTAAAGATCAAAAGTGTTTAATTTACTATTACTGGAAATAAATAAAAAACCTTGATGTATCGGTAACGTCGATGTTTGACTTTCAATGTTTTTGAAAATCAATATTTTTTCATCACAAACCATGTCAAGAAAGCCATAAGGTTTGGAGATTAGCATCATTGAAATCTCTCTCTATGATCAGACCCAACAAGAGAGGACCTAGGTACACGCTTGCAGATTGTTTTATTTATTACCTTATGTTTAAATATCTTTACGTTTATGGATTATATTAAATAATAATTATGCAATTTCTTTATACACGTTTTGTTACATATAAAGCATTGCCGAGCAACTGGAGTAATTGACCCGGAGCGCCAAATGTCTAAGCCCGGCATTGTTATAAAGGCTGTTGTTGGATTTTAGAAATGAATTTATTATTTAACAGGGGCCCGGGAAAATTTATCTCTAGTTTGGATCCCATGGCTTCTCTCCACTGCCCTTCCTGTGAAACTCCTGCATGGGCTCCTGTTCTTATAACTCCATTATGTTCATCTCTGGTTATATCTATCTCCTCCTCTGTCTCAGCCACCGCCTTCACATCTCCAACTACGACCTTTTCATTTCCTTCTCTGGTATGAGGCAGGCCAAGTATAGGACCTCTTCTTCTGGTAATAATGAAGTGGCCTTGTCCAATTCTTCCTTTTCATTCACATAGTGATTCTCTGAAACTTGTGTAGTTTTCTTCTTTCACCAATTCAGGGAAATTGCCCCTTGTTATAATGTAATTGCTTGTTTTTTGTGGACAAACTCTCTTGCATATCATCCTATGTTGAGAAGCAAATACATATTTCATGTACTCCAGGACTCCGCAGCTGAAACAAAGTGGATCTACACCATAGCCATGCTTGTTTAATTTCCATTTGAATTCCTGAGCCCAGTGAGGTTCTGGGATATCCAGCAGTCAGGAGAATATCCAGCCGTTGTGAGAGATTTCTATTCCAGAAGGGGGAGATGTGCCTCAAGATACCCAGGATCACCACTTTGTAAATTATCATATTCATAGGATATCTGAGGCTCCTAACAAGGCTCTCCTATAGGGCTTAATCCATTCATGATTTGGCTCACTCTCGTTGCAATGAAGTCTTCCAGAGAACTTCTTTCTTAAGGTTCCCTGCTTTTGAGTGCATCTACCTGATTGGATGGACATTAAATATTGACTACATTTAAATAATGATTTCAACTTCGCTTCTTCAACTAAAAACAGTATTTTGGTAATATGGAATTGGCACTTATACATTGTCATTAGGCCCCAGTCTTTACATAAGTATGTGAGGCTACATAATAGCTATTATTATTTAATGAATGTTAATCATATTTAGTTTATTAATAATTGGAAAAAATCAATTAATTAAACAACAAATTACATTATTCTTTTAAATGTGTTTCTATTTTTTGTTTCAGTCCTGCCCAAAAGGAAGACTTGATAAAATAAATCTACACATTGTTCCCCATACTCATAATGATGTCGGGTGGCTAAAGACTTATGATCAGTATTACTATGGAAGTGAGTATTTTTTTTTCATCATAAGTATCATTTTTAATATAAGATTCAAAAATTAAAATATCTACTAGATAAACTCTCAAATATACCAAAACATAAATAAACAATATATAGCTTAACTAATGGTACTTTGCATTTTTCATCAGTTAAACTAAAATATGGTTGGTTATAATTTATATGACCATAGACTTAATCTTTCTATTTTAAAGAAAACTCAAAATTTATAACAGAATATGTTTTAAAAAACAATGAAAGAGCTGAAATGTGCAACGATTATTTTATATGTTGGAATTGAAAACATTGTTCTCAAGAAAAATATATAATTAAAATGAGTTACTAAGATCAATAAAAAATAAATGTGGGAGCTAAAACAAAATTAGTTTAAGTATAGGTATGATAAAATATTGTTACATTTTCTTTGTACTTAACATTCTATTGACTAATAATCTATTAGTTTTCTGGATTAATTTTAAGCGTTTTTTTATTTTCCCGCTTTGTGCTCTATCCCCCTATCCCTTTATAACTAAATCACTTAAAATAAATTATTTATTTCTTTTTAAATGACTTAAATTTTAATACAATAAAACCAAGATTAGAAATAAAACTATTCTCTCTTTGTGTGAACCAAGAAACACCTTCAACAAGAAAAAAAAAGAAAACTTAATCTTTTTCAACTATCCAAAATCAGTAAGTTGTATTGTTCTTAGATTTAAGAGTATAAAAAAAGAGAGCAATTAAAAAAAAAAAAATCGGCATTAAATTAAATTACAAGACACAGTTTAAAGTTCAAATTAATTTAGTTTAACCTTTTTTAATTTAAATAGGTTTATTAGTTGAATTAGTTAGTTTATTTATGGTTTATTAGTTATTTATTTATAATGAAAATTAAAAAAAAAACATACTGATAAAAAAAAAATCTTCTATTTTTACAATATTTCATAAGGGTTGTAGTTTTTATTTGTCTTCCATTCGAAAAATAATAACTTGAATGAGACATTTTTTACTTTTTTTTTCATAGCTCATAATTAACTATGAAAATTAATTTTTTTTATTACTAAATTATTTGCTAAATGTTTAAATAGGCAGAACCAATATTCAAAGTGCTGGGGTTCAGTACATCATTGATTCCGTGGTACAAGAACTTCTTAAGGATCCTACTAAAAGGTATTTTCATTTCATTTAAAATTGATCTAATTTTATAATTAAGTTATAAGTTTCAATAGTTCTGTTACAATTATTCTTAACTTATACAAATCATTTGGCAAAAATCAATTTTTTTTGTGTGTGTAAGTAATCTACCTTTCTCTATTTGAAGAGAATCTTTGAAACTTAATTTTCCTATTTATTTTTAAAAAAATTAGTAAGCCAATTACCTTTTTAGGAAATAGAAAAACTCCATGAAGCAGTAATAAGCTGTTTGAGAAAATTAAATATGAAATATTTTATTTAAAAATCTTAATGGATATACAATTTTAACTTCTTGTTATTTTAGGTTTATATATGTTGAAACATCCTATCTTTATAAATGGTGGAAAGAGCAAGATGACATTATGAAGCAACAAGTTAGGCAACTAGTAAATTCAGGACGGCTTGAGATCATTGGTAAATATTTAAAATATTAATTTAAGTAGTTTTCCTGTTCATGAGGTTGAAATAATAATGGCTATCTCTTATTCACTCTCTCATAGAATTTTTAAGGAATTGAAGATATATAAAAAGACTTTTAGTACTTTGTAGTTGAGATTTCGCTAAAGTCTCAAGATATACATAACGTACAAATAAGTTAGTTTAAAAACCATGGATGAAAACATTTTTCTTCAAAAAACACATTAGTATCAGTCTACATTGGGCTATCTATTATCCAATATTTAGATTTCATAAGGAAAATTTATAGGGATTGCCAGGAAGGTGAATTAGGGAGAAGTAAGTATGGAATGTTGTTAGGTTATTTCCCGTAACATTTAAAGAACATGATTAGTTAGCCTATGGATACGGGGGGCGGGATGGTCGAGTGGGCTAGCCCATGTGCAAAACTGGTGTTCCCCAGCAACCAACCACATGATAAACTCAAGTTACAAGATACAAGATAATTATGAGTTCGTGTCCCGGTCTCAAGGGGCTTTTTAATCCTGGCATTAATCTCCCACCCTCTCTACTGGCCTGAGATAAATCCCTGTATATCCTAAAAGGCGAGGAAGAGGTGGACACAAAAAAGAAAATCTATAGATATTGAAATTTCTTGACAGACTAAATCTTAACCTTCCCAATCTAGATAGAATAGGTTTGATTGTATCTCTAGGACACTCCCATATGCTATAAATGAGGAAGTAAGGTTATCGATAAAGAAAAAATAAATTAAAAGACAGTCTTGTCTTGTTTTTTCTTCCTAAATTACTCTTTACATTAAATTTAACACCTCTCAAGCTACGAGGAATCATTATCATATATTTTTTTATAAAAATCAAGTTAATACATGTAAATTAAATAGTTGCCAGATATAAAAAATGTACAAAGTTTAGATTTTACGTAAACTGAGCAAAGCACTTATATACTCCTCAATTACTATCATATTAGAAGATCAATGTGATAAGTATCCTATCTATAACTTTATCTTATTATTTAAAATAAATTATCATTTTTGGTAGTTCTCAACTATCATTATGTTTTATATTAATTATTTTATTGTATTTTTAAAATCCATTTCCTATTTCTATAGGTGGTGGATGGTGCATGAATGATGAAGCAGCAGCCCATTATCATTCTATCATAGATCAAATGACATGGGGTTTCAGGTATCATCTATTTTTGAGTTTTTTATTGCTATAAGATAAAAATAGTTTCTGCACTTTTTAATTTCTAGTTTTAATTATATTCGTAACTTGTTTTTGATATATTTTTTACTTTAGAAGACCTTATAGATATTTTTTACTAGCTGATTGTATAACCAAACAAATAATAAGTGTCTTTGAACACTTATTCACCTCTAAGTTTATTTTGCTTGGCTATTTAACAAAAGGAAATTAGTTAATATAATATAACCATCAAAAAGTCAAAGGAAATTGAATACGATACTTAAAGCTATAACGAAAATATACCAAGTTTATAATGATTGAGGCACCACCACACTTGTAGCCAATATGCATTAGCAAATTTCAGGTGAATATACCAGCCAGTCACCCTGCCTACTATATTTGACAATCACTAGCCCATACTTTTACTTGAAACCTTGAACACCTTTATGTTAACTGAACAACATACAAGATTAAATAAACATGTATTTTCTTATTCATTATGAAGATATTTATTTATTTATATATTTGATTTTGACCTAAGGTTATATATTTTTTTTTATTCATTTGTAATTTTAAAAATGAATAGGTTATTGGACGAAATGCTGGGTGAATGTGCCAGGCCTAAGATAGGATGGCAGATTGATCCATTTGGTCACAGTAAGGAAAATGCTGCTTTATTCGCTGGTTTTGGTTTTGATGGATTGTTCCTGGGAAGAATAGATTGGGAAGATAAGACAAACAGGGAAGAAAAGAAGACTATGGAAGTTATATGGAATGCAAACCCATTCGAAAAAGGTTTATTTCATGATTACTTTTCCTGGTTCATAAACAAATAAACTATTTATTTACCATAATTATTTTATTTGAGCTCATCTAGTTTCATCTAGTGAAATTTCACTCTTATAGAAGTATGACTTTGTAATAATAAAATTATTTTTACTGTATTTTCTATTTTCAGGAGATGACGGTAAACTGTTCACTAGCGTACTGTACAATACATACAGCCCCCCTCCTGGATTCTGTTTTGATATAAATTGTGACGATGAGCCAATCATTGACAACAAAGAGAGTCCAGATTATAATGCTGAAGAAAGGGTAAAGATTATTGATTTATATAAAATAATTCACCATTAATTTGAATTATTGTGTAAAAAGATTTTTCTTCTTTGTAGACAAGAGATTTCTTAAAAATAATGGAAAACTATACTAAAGCTTATAGAACAGAAAATATTTTGGTGACAATGGGAAATGACTTTAATTACCAAAATGCTCACATTAATTTCAAGAATATGGATAAACTTATAAAGTAAGATATTTACTTTCTTTATGTATAAAGATTTTTTATTAGCTAAAATTACTTTTAAAATATACCAAATTGGAATAATTTAACTAAAAACATTGTCTTTCCATATTGCTGACAGAATTACTTTTGAATAATTTTGTTGAATAATTGATAAAACAAAATAAATTTAATAATTAGTTATTTTTTTAAAAATAATTTATGAACTGATTGTATGAAATTAATTTCAAAATACAGAATTTGATGAAATGAATTTTAGATTCTACTTATTTATTTAAAAAAAATAAAATAATGTATAACATTCATTTCATGCGATTATTAGACTAATATTCATTCATAAATTTTTCAGACAAATAAATTTATTGGACACCAAATACTATGCCTTTTACTCTACACCTTCATGTTACCTGAAATCAGTCCATGAAGCAGGGATTACCTTTTCCACGAAAAATGACGATTTTCTGCCATATTCTACTGACCCATACACATTTTGGTCTGGATATTTCTCTTCAAGGCCAGCTGTTAAGAGATTCGAGAGGATGGGTAACAATTTTTTGCAGGTATTACTTTTAATATTTTCTAAACAAGAATTAATTAATGTAATTTGTACAAAGTGAGTTTTTGAATAATGCAAAATATATGATCTTTTTTTAGTGTAGATAAAATATTAGTATAGATAAAATATTACCCCAAACCAGAAATGAATAAATAGTATATGCTTAAGATAGGATGAATTTGTATATGTAAATATAAACTATATATAATTAAAAATATTACATTCTAATTATCTTAGATAATTAGTATTATTGATCCCAATAATACTATTAATCAATATGATTTGTTTTGTACACTAAAGAAATAAAATAGGTAATATTAATTAAATTGTAGATATTTTCTTTTGATAAGAAACATCCTTCAATAATCTAACTTACCACAGAGTATTAAGATTATTAACTATTTTAATAGTGAAAAAAAAAATGTATTGCATATTAACAAGTAGGCATAGTTAATAGTTACAGCAGTCTTAGTTGATGTTATGGCTGAAAATATTATCACTTATCCCCCCCCCAAAAAAAAACAATTTTTTAATGTTATAATATAACATTTATGCAACAAATACTTTAAATTTTGGTAAAAATGACAACTGTTTTCAAGTTATAGATTAAAACTTCTAATTTTAATCACTCTTGCTGTGATATTAATATTATAGCTGCACAAAAATAAAATATGTTATAAGTTAAATTAAAACCTTTTAAAATTAGAAAAAGATTTAACAAATGATATTCATTAAGACTTAGTTATTGATAACTTCAAATTTTCAAATGAACAAGGAAAATTGCCTTTATTTTTATGATAATATTTCCTAACTAATACTTTTTTTATAATAATTTTTTAATCACTATTATAATTTTTCTGAAACTTCATATCCATGACTTTTCATAGAAAAATAATTGTCCATTTTAAACCCTCCCTTATTCACTACACTATATTTAAAAAAAAAACCTTCTTTATGGTACACAAAACTTTGTACTTTAAAATTGGCTCAAAAACGCTTACATTATGTTTTATATAAGCTTTTTAAGAAAATGTTTAGTATCATGGAAATTCTTATTGTAAATAAATTAAATTAATTATTCATTGAAATAATATTTTTATTCTTCCTCTAAAAAATTCATAATTAACAGGTTGTTAAGCAAATCAGCAGTGCTAGTGGTACGGGCGAAACCAATGCTCTTAACGAATTGAGAGAAGCTTTAGGAACTCTACAACATCATGATGCCGTTACTGGAACTGAGAAAGAACATGTTGCTGCTGATTACGCTAGGATTTTGACAAGTGCGATAGACCACTCTGGTGATGTCGTTCAGGAAGCCCTCATGTAAGTGATGGTCGAAGACTTGTATTACAATTGAGTTATTATTTACTATAATGAAGATTATATCAGATCATGTTTTTATATATTACATTAGCTGCCAATTCTAGTTCTACTCAAAAACTGTGTTTCTCTTTTAATTATAAACTAAATTTTGAAGGAGAGCAATATATTTCAACACCAAATACTGTTGATTTCTGGTGAAATGAAAACGGGCAGGAATGGATAAAAAAAATCTTTTGAATCAACATCGATGTTTAAAGCTTAAAAAACGTGTCAAGTTTGAATAATTGTGTTAATTATTTTAACCTAATGATTTCCAAAAATATCTGAATAATTAGATTTTCATAGTAATTCCATTAATAACTGAACCTTTTTACGAGATCTCTTAACTCTTTAGTTGCGCGGAGCCTGAATTAAGGTCAGGTCCCGTGTATGCGGGTTACTGAAGGTCTAGCCAGGATTTATTCATTGAATTACTCCCATCTTTTTGCAATTTTCACATTAAAATATGCTTTTTATTTTATAACTGACTTTTACATTTTTCTTTAATATGATATTAGCTCATATTTCAGTTAACAGTTAAGTTCTCTTTTTAATTTTAAACATTCTTTTAATTTTATAATTTATTAATCGTCTTACAATACTTTTACATTATACTGTAATATTTACATTATTTTGATGTATTTTTTTTTTTTTCTTGTTTATATAGTGTCATTATTTTTTTTTTCATTTGAAATTTTTTATATTTTTTGTTAACCTTTTTTACCATTAACCAATTTCTGATCACGTTTTATTGTATGATAACTTTTATTACATATATTTCAATTTAAAAAAAAATTATATTTTCGGAAAAATAAATTTTTTTAAAGTTTAAAACTCATTTTCAACTTTCGCACTTTAAAACACTACCAACTGCTGTTAGTTTTAGAGCTAAATAAGATTAGAGAAAAGTGATTTAGGAGTGGAAGTAGGTATAGCCCATGACTAAATAATATATCTCTGGCTGTCTGGTGGTTCCAGCAACAACCTATGTCTCATGGGGTACCCGGTAAAGAGCTCTGTAACTCGCCAGAGTATTGGTTCTGCACAACTAAACGATAAAAAGCTGAAGCCACTATATTGGTATTGCGCATCTAAAGGGTTAAGCTATCTATTTAGGATAGATTCTTCTATCAAGTAAATGTTTTCAATATGGAACTGTGTACATTTACAGAAGGAAATTTCATTAAAAATTAAACTGTTAGATTCAAGATAAAGGAAAGGCAGATAAAATAATTACTTTCTAAATTATAAGTATTATGAAAAGAAAACAACCCATAATTAATACTATATTTAATAATTTATTAATTTCTTAATAGTATGTTTCCATAAATGTTGTTTCACTTGCAAAAAATTTCTTCTTACCCAGGTTTAGATGTATACGTTTATCTTCTGTATTCCACAGTATCTACCTAAGATTCGTAAATGATTGTTGGCATAATTTTCAATTATTTGGCACAAATAAACATTTTTGTGTTGATAATAGTTTGTACTTCGTATCTGTTTAACATATTTATATTGTTAAATAATTAAAAGAAAAAAGAAAAGCCTCATTATTTCAATAAATGAATTCAATGATCTACCCACTATATTTTCTGATACTTTTCTAGTTGAAAATACCAGTATATGTTTTATGAAGAGAAGGATGGTTGAGAAGGAATAATAAATATTATTATTTATTTTTGCCTTTTTATTTCTGACTAATCATCCTAACCATTCTTTTCTCCATTATTCACGACAGTCAACCATCAACCCACAAGTATATGTTTTATATTACTAGTTTTATCAAATTTTGTTGTCGGATTTTACAAAAAAAAATTTGAAAATTCTGTCATCTAGATTTTGAAATAGTAATCCATTCATCTATTCTATGGGACTGAATATAATCCGGAAGTCTTTAGCCCACTCTTGCTATATAGAAGATTTTTATTAAACATTACTCTTTGTATTTATTGACAAATATCATATAAACACAATTTTTTCATCAATTTTTATTTTAATTAAAAAGATTAGTAATTTAAATACACCCACAATTTTGACATTAAAATTTTTGGTACAATTATTTTTCATTTTTTGCAATTTGTAAAATTAATTTTTCACTTTGGTCTTTTTTTTTCTTCAGGAAAATAATGAAAAAACAAGATGATCTTAAAACTGAACTGCAATCCTGCCTCCTATTAAACATCAGTTCTTGTGAGCCAACGGAGAAGAGCAAACGCTTCGTTGTTACACTTTACAACCCACTGTCGCATAAAGTTGATTATCTTGTGAAAATACCAGTGGCCAAAGATAGTTCCTATACAGTTCTTTCACCAAGAGGTTTGAAGTTTTATTTTAATATCAGCTCTAAGTTACGTTAGATCATATTTTTCCAATCTTCATGTCTTATTCTTTCTTAATCATAGCAAATGAATAAATAAAATACATGGGGCTTATGCGAATTATTTGAAAAAATCTTGAGTTAAGTATATGAAATAATAAATTATTCTTCATCTCTTATTTTTCTTAATTTGATTTAGAAACAATAAATATGGTAAAATATTTCAACTTGCGCCATGAATCCCCTAAACGCTTACATTAAGGAATGAGCAGTGTCTTAAGGTTTTTGAAAATAAAGTATTGCGTAGAATATTCGGACCAAAGAAGGATGAGTTAACCGGAGAGTTCAGATGGTTACACAACGCCGAATTGCGTGAGCTGTATCCGGGTAATATAATTGAGGTAATTTCATCAAGGTGAATCAAATGGGCTTATAAAGTTGTTGGGCTTAGTAACAAGAGAATTCCTAAAAGGTTAATATTTGCTGTGCCGAATGGTAAGCGTCCGAGGGGTAGACCGAAGCGAAGGTGGGAAGATTGCATTAAAGCCGATCTGAAGGGACTGGGTTTGGACGGCGAACGGTGGAGGGAGGTGTGTAACAAGCGATTGGTGGTGTCGGCATCGAACCTTCGGGTTCGCTAAACCTTATTATTATTATTATTAAATATGGTAAAATAAAATTTTAATAATTCTACATTAATATATGTAATATTTATGTTTTTGAAAACTAAGTTGTTACTTGCAACTTGAAATTAAAATTTATGTTATTAAATTATATTAAAATTCTTCTACATTCTTATTTTAAAAATAATTATCACTTCAAAATTTTAAATAAAATGTTTCTATTATTGTAATATTAATATTTTTTCTTTATTTATATTCATTAATAAAAATTAATTTTTTGTAAGCATTGAAATCTCTTACATCAACTTTATTTAAAGGTATTTCAACATTTATCCTGACGTTAATTAATGATTTAAATAAAGACATGGCAAAAAAAGTTTTGGCATGCCATATACTCCCCACCTTAAATATCTCAGTTTACAATAAAACCACTAGTATTTCATAACAAATATATTTTACAATCAAACAAAACCATGCAGTTAATTTAGAAAATAAAACTACAAAGCTGATTGATAAGTTTCAATTTACCCAAGTTATTGTACATTTGATGGGTTGTGCATTTCCTAAGATATAAGGACAATAACAATATCAAAAGAATGACTTCAATTTTTTTTAAATTATGCTCTGATATCCTAAAACATGTACATTAAGCGAGGGCTTAAAGTGATAGGTTTGTTTAATTCTCATATTTCTGCAGTATAAAGTTCTTGAGGAGATAAAATGGATTACTTCAATTAATAATATTAATATCATTCATATTTTTAATATTATCAGTTTTTAAATTATTATTGTATATTAATATACTATATTATTGTTACATTTAATGAAATTATCATCTATTTTTAAAGGGGACGAAGTGTTAACACAAATGTTAGTTGTGCCCGAACAAGTTTTGGATCTGCCTGGTCGCCCTACCAAAGCAGAAGTTGAGCTGTCGTGGTTGGCTAAAGATATTCCAGCTCTCGGATTCGCTTCGTATCATGTTACAAAGCGTTACACTCCACCACCTCCATGTGAAGAAATTGTTTTCCGGAAGATACCTATCACACTTGGATACAAGGATGTAAATACATATTTTTTTTTTTTAAATTGCAATTATTTCCATTAGAGTTATTTATTTTCTTATTAAACCAAAAGAATAAACAAACACTCTAGTTAAATTCATGGTATTGGAAAATAAATAACCTAATTTGATTAAACAATCTTTGTTCATAATTAATAACTAAACGTTCTATTTTCAGCTTTCGTTAACTTTAAATAGTGAAGGAGACATTAAAGGTATAAAAGCTGGCAGGAAGCAATATCAATATGAGCCTATTAACAATGACTTTAGGTTTTACATCCCTGCAGTTGGCAACAATGAAGTTTTTATCAATCGATCCTCAGGAGCTTACATATTTAGACCAAATGGTTCAGAAATAGTTATTGACCAAGATACCTCTAAACTCAGGATATACCAAGGTATTGTCGTAGTTTTTCTAATATTAATAAAATGTTAACCATTTATATATTAATAATAATGAAACTATTATTTTAAGGACCTCTTGTAACTGAAATGCACCAAACTTACAACGAATGGGTAAGTCAAGTGATAAGGATTGTGAATGGATCTCCAATTGCTGAATTCCAGTGGCTTGTTGGACCTATACCTATCGAGTAAGTTATTAGTTATAGTAATTAATGTTCTTACCTCACAATTAGTTTTAAAAAACTTTTTTGATTATATTACTTTTAAGAAGTGCTTAATAGAAACTTTAAAAAACGCAACTCTGAGCTTGTAACTAATCTCACAGCATTGTTGGCCTATTTATCGTACTTTATAAAAAAAATTATAATTAAATATATATATACAAAATATAAATAAACTAGAGTTGAATTCAGTTTTTCAAAATCAAATGAACATAATTGGTAATTGGTAATGTTCATTAATTATAATGAAATTTTAGTTGGTAATTATTAAACTATTATGTATTTATCTGAAATTCCTTGTAATTTTAATCTAGGAGAGGAGTCGGTAAGGAAATAGTTTGGCATTTAACTATGCCTAACATGAAGACAGGCGGGGTATTTGAAACTGATTCAAATGGACGCCAACATTTGAAGAGAAAGTTAAATCATCGAGAGGACTGGGACCTTCATTTAGCAGAAAAAGTTCCAGGGAATTACTTCCCAATAACAACAGATATATCAATTAGTGATCATAAGAAAGTTACAGTAATTACAGACAGGACACAGGGAGGTTCAAGCCTTGCTGATGGTGAATTGGAATTAATGGTAAAATATTTAAAAATTTGATTTAAGTTATTTTATAGAGTTTTAAAATGACATCCCGTAATTTAAAATGAATTTTATTTTTATTATACTGGTATCAAAATCAGCTTAACTTGTTTATTATTACTATATTATTTTAAAAATATATTAATTTCATTATAAATAACCAACTTAATATAGTTTCATTAAAAAAGATTAATCATATAATTTATCTACAGTATATATTTCATTATCCCCAATGGACTATCATTTAATATATTCAGAAATTATAGGATTACAAATCATAATGAAACCAAAATTCAAGCTTAACTTTATGCAAATTCATGAAATATTTTTTAAAAAAATAGAGTTATGAGATAAATGATAAGCTTTTACTTTAGGTACATAGGAGGCTAACACATGACGATGCTTTCGGAGTTGGTGAAGCATTGAATGAAACAGCGTTTGGTGAAGGATTGATAGTTAGAGGATCTCATTGGCTACTCGTGGATGACTGTAAATCTTCACCAAGGAAGGAAGTGCAAGAACTATCTATCTTACCTCCTTGGATTTTCATTTCTACTACTTCCCTCTCCTTCGCTGAATGGGAAGCCAACTTCTTGACTACCGTATGTACCTAATTTTATAAATAGGTTGCATCACTGAAATATTTATTTTTTTAAAAATACCTATATTGGTTTAATATTTATATTTTTTAAAAGCTACGATATTACAAAAATTTGATCCTGATGTTTCAGTACTCTAGCCTGCTCAATGAGTTGCCTGAAAATGTGCAAATATTGACCTTTGAACCCTGGGCACACAACAGTATTTTGCTGAGATTGGAACACATTGGGGATCCAAGCAGTGATCCAAAACTGGCTGTTCCTGTTACAATTGACCTCGAAGTAAGTATCATTAAATTATTTTAAAAAGTAAATTTGTCACTTGTGGTTAAGTGGCTTTAAGAAACATCAATATCTATAAATTAAATTACATTATTCATGAGGTTAATTTCTTAGAAAAAGTATGTTGATATAGAAATTAATGATTCGGCTAATGATCAAGGTGTAGAAGTAAACATTTGAGCCATATAATTCCAAAACCAGCCAATTAAATTTTCAATTCTTTTTTTTAAATAACAGTTTTGGAACTACATTATCATGATTAGAAAGAAATCATTTTATATCATGAAAATCTTGTACCAAAAATGTCAATTTAAAAAAATAAAAATTAAAAATTTGATAAGGGAGTTGGCTTGTTTTGGAATCCTTCATCTAAAGTGTAATATTTGAATTTAAAAATATTTTCTGCAGGCAGCAGTAATTTTAAAATTCTAATTTCTTCTCAGCTTTTTGAAACAAGGATATTTGTTTTTTGTTGTGATTGTATTGTTTTTTCGCATATAACTATGCGTATATGTAAAAATTTAACTAATTTTACTTTACTAATCCTTGGTTAATAGCACTACATTTTGAAATATATTGAAAGGAACTTTGCATGAATTTTTCATGTACTCTTCTCATTCAATTAAACATAATTTTAAAAATATGAAGTGATAGAGTAAATGTATTAGAATGAAAAAATAAATAGTTATAATTATATATATACGATATCATATCAGAGAGCCAAAAGATAAATAAATAAGGCCAGTGAGGCTCTATTACTGGATTCTGTAAAGAGCTGTATTGCCGAAAAGCAGTGGAGAATTTGTTTAATGAAACGGATCGAGTTCCCATGAACCTGCCAAGAAAGGAGTCCATGGGAAGTATCTGCGGCTATCTTAGGAAGTACCTGCATAGAATAGGAGTGACAGACTCTCTACATTGCAACCTATGTTATTTGGGAACACATATGGACACAGCGCATTTAGGTGTATGCTTGTGCTTGCTGAACTTAAGAGATACCACGTCATCCAAATCGGAATGGTGCTGGGCTGCAAGATCTCTGATGGCGGAAGCCAATAAAGAGAGGCATATTTAAAAAAAAATAAAAAAAAAAAAAAAATATATATATATATATATATATATATATATATATATATATATATATATATATATATATATATATATATAAACACATTCACTCCATATTTATATTAAATTCTGTTAACTTTTTTGGCTATAAGGAAAATTATTAAATTCAATTTTTTTTTTTTCCAGAATTTATTTAGCGGTTTAGAAATAACTGGAATTCAAGAAATGAGCTTAGGAGCAAATATGAAGAAATCTGAAGTATCTCGATTAAGTTGGAAATCTGAATGTGATAATAAAATACGGCTGTCAGCTGAAGATCACCGAGAAACATTTAGAATCACAGTACAACCAATGCAGATTAAGACATTTTTATTACAAGTTAAATGAACTGCCTGAATTTAGTATTATTTTGTAAATAAATTTATATTTTTTAAAAAATTATTTATTTTTTCCTAGATTTCTATAATAGTTATAATAGCTATCATCTGATAAAGGAGTGGTTTATTAAAACTTATTTTAAACAAAAAATTATTTTTAATGCAAATACATTGATCTATATAAATAAGGAATATAAGAAACTGGCATATTCTGTATGGTGTACAAAGTATCTTAAACAACACTGACTAGGCTGCAGTAAGCAAAAAAGAATGTTTTGTGCTTTTTTTTTTTTTTTTTTTTTGTGTATAATTTTACTACATTTACAATTGCCCAATACCTTAATAATTATAATTGCAGATGACAGAGGTATCCTACATGCCCAATATTATCTATTAATTGCTTTAAGCTAACGGACACAATGAATAAGATTACTATGACTAATCCTGTAAAGAATTTTTGTTTCATTGAGCCTTACATCAGAATACTTATAAAATACACTAGCCCAAATGAGGAACACCATATGCTGTTCCACACAATAAACAAATAGCTGACTTAAAGGAAAGTTTGAAATTGAAAAATAATTTGTCAACAGAAGATATTGAATCAACACCGGTATTATTACTTGCAATTATTTTGCACAAACTTACTTTGAGGAAAAATATTACTAAAGTGAACTAATCTTAATAGCTAGAACTCTACTGATTGTTACCCTTTCACCATAACACATTTCTAATGGAACATTACATAGTAGAAACTAGTATAAATTTATGAACACATAAATAGACAGTCTTTATCCTGGGAGCAATGGGATAACCATTTCAGAAAAATATTAAGATGAATGATAAGCATCTTAGAATCACAAAAAAAAAAAAAATATTGTTCACAATATTTTATGTACTAATTAGTTAGATAAATTAACGTATTCTTTTTTCTCTCAGGTTCACTGTGCTTTTCAGTGTGTTAACTAGTCTGTTAAACCTACTTTACAGTTTTGGACCTTTATTTAAGATCAGTCTGATCATTACCAAGAAAACACTTCTTTAAAATCTAGGTGAAAGTAAGGAGATTAGCAGTTATTAGATGTCATAACCATATATTACCGCAATTAAAATATTTTCTATCCCTAGTTTGAGCATTTTTATATTTTTATTGAGTAGAAGTATTTGCCATCTATAGAATCTGATGTATATTTTGACTTGCTGTACTGATCCATTTTTTTTTTCTCTTAAAAAGTTGATTTTATTTTATTTTTTAATGATTTTTAGATAATTTTCAATTACATTTTGATCAGTATGTCCTATATATTTTGTTAGATGTTTAAATTTACTGTTTTATTTCTGTATATTTATATGTGTTTTTTTTTACTTACTGCAACCCTCAAATAACTTCCCAAACATTTCCAAAAATTATTTTATATATTCACAAACTTATTTTCCATATTGACAAACATATTTTATTGTTCACAAAATTAATTTACATAATGAAACAAATACAGAAAATTTGGCTTCAATGACCCAAAATTTCACCTCCTTTCTTCCAAAATGTTAGATTTTTGCTAGGCATAACGATCGTTTTGGATTGCCAGACGATGTATTATCCTTGTGTCTCCAGCCAACCAGAGGCGGGCAAATGCTACTTTGAGTAATGAGTATCAAGTACTTTACGCAAATACTGCCTTTTTTTTAGTACCAAAAAAACTTAATTACTACTTCAGTTGATGTCAAACGATTAACTGAAGTAGTGACTGAATTCCCAATAGTGATTTAATTTAAGTAAAATATTTGCTGCTCAGTACTCAGAGTAGCATTTGCCTATTTCCGCAGCCAACCTATTTTAGAGAGGTTTAAGCGAAAATTTGCTTAAAACACCCAAAATTTTACTTATTTTATTGGGCTAATGCTCCTCAAGTGTAAATCGACTGATATGAGTTGGCAGACAAGTATTTTCACAATTCCCCCCCAAAAAGTAGTTCTGCTTGTTAGGTTGAAAACTTGCTTAAAACATGTCAGTCTTTTCGGCCCTTACTCTCGCAGGAGCTTTAAACCCACCCCTAGACTAGAATTAAATAAAATTAATATTATTAAATATATCATATCAATATCCACAGGCGGATCTACGGGGAGTATTTTCCCATTTACCCAAAATGGTAAAATATAACCATGTTTTATAGAAAAAAATATTAAAAACTATCCCTTAAACTATTATTGTTTGTTTAATTACATTTAATAAGACTTCAAGAATCACTAAGACAACATGTCATATGGGTAGTTAGTTTCTTTCTTTTTTTTTCAAATTAATTATCGTTATATATACGAAAAAAAAATCCTTCGGACTGAAGCCCCCCCCCAAAATTAAATCCTGGATCCGGTAGTGTCAATATCCCATGATATGAGAGCACAGAAGTTAAGATGGGCTGGGCATGAAACTCGTAGCAATTCATCTGGAAGCCTCAATAGAAGACAAAATGTCTTTTATGGTCACGTAGAAGGTAAAAAAGCAGATGGGTAGATAGAATCAACAAAAATGCAATTGAGCTGCATGCAGATAAATGGAATGAAATGACCGAAGACGGGCAGAGATAGAAGATGCTTGTTAAGACGGCAAAGGACAAAAAACAACAGAAAAAGAAAAAAAATCTGGTGCGCGCAACACACAACTTTCAGTTACTGCTCTGCTTTGAATAGAAATTATTTTCTGGCAATGATGGACTATTATAAAATTTTTGAAGTGCAGTTTAAACGAAGCTAAGGTAAAAGCTTACAGATAACAAATAATTAAGACCATTAAAATCAAGGGTAGGGTATTTCTAGTTGGAAAAGTTATATCTATACAGACAGTGAATAAGTAGATTCCAGAGTAAGTAATAGTATTGGTGAAACATAGAACTGAGAATGAAGGTACAAATTTTGTCACATAGAAACATCCCTAAAATTAATAATAAAGAATGTTAAAATTGGTGTTAGTAATTCTTTCAATCGAAAGGCTCATATATGCCTAAGAGACATTTGAAAGTACGTCTGAGTATTTAACCTATAAATGATTATGAATTGTAGGACTATTACTTATTTTGCATTGTAAAGTTCACTAAAATGAAATTACGAGATTTTCATTGCCTACCAGGGATAGGTCAAAAGTTTTCACACTAATTTTAGGTGGATAATGTTGGGATTTTACTAAGGGGAAAATTCATCAAATTATTTACTAATATAATTTTCTAAAAGTTTACTTGATTTTTTGGAATGAACGGTCGATAGATACCTAATTATTTAAATATAATATCTTAGCGAGAGTTTTCAAACTACAGTAAGTGTATTTAAGGTTATAAATATAAATGCAATATTTTTACATTTCACTTCTTCTTCCACACAAGTACAATGAAATAGTATTTTAAACAATGACATTGACTTGATTAGGTAGATTTTAAATTATTTTTTACTTTTCTTAGAAAAAAATTAAAAGTTTAAATTTAATAAGAAAATTTCATTTAATTTCCTTGGAAACCTATGATTTACGTTAAATAATGTTAGTTTTCTGAGATTATATTTATATATTTTTCGCCACTCTCCGTTACCTTCTACAACTTTATTTATTTGATATTATCGTTTCTAAAATTCTTCGCTTTCCAGCGATATATTATACCTATTTCCGAAGATTAATTTTCGACCTGGATAACCATTTTTCTTTTTTTCTCCTGTTTCCAATTATCATATTCTTTCAAACTTCATAAGACCTAAATGGTACTAAAGATCACTTAAGTATACAATAATACACCGAGTTTAATCAAAATCGTTAGAGCCGTTTTTGAGAAAATTGTAAAAATGTACTTCACCGTTGATATAAAAACGCACTTCCGGTTAGCCGATTTTGACGGAAAAGTTGCTGTAACATACAAGTTATATACAAACCTTAAATATGAAATTTCACTTTCGTACGACTTTTCGTTTTTGAGATAGACTGTTCACCTACTTGCACACACACAGACCATGTTGCGGACTTGCTTATTTGGACTCAGGAGACCTCAAAACATGTATTTTCGTTGAAAACTCAATTATATATTTTAAATTGCTTGGTTCGTGAATTGTCTTTTCTTGATCAAAACTTTGTGCATATGAGAAATATTATCATTAATCATATTTATTATTATTATATATTAAAATAAATCCTGGAACCATTCATTATCCTTGGCACTCCGCCTTTGGCCACAAGTGCATGAAGCGAACTGACGAACGTATTAAGGTATAAATCGGTTGGAAATTGAAAATCAGAGCTGTGTCTATATCTTTTTCATGTGTCTATAGTCTGTCTCAGTCAGTCCCAGAAAACTGTTATTAACCGGTTCATTAGATAGACCTTATAACATAGGAATTGAAAAATAATGGGATCAAATATTGAAATTATCATTTCGGATTATTAATATGCAATAAACATAAGTGAAAGTTAATATTATAAAGGATTTTCAAATTAAAAAAAAAATATATAAATTACAAAATCTATTCATCTTTGTTCGTTCTTAATAGCTCTTTGATAGGTAAACACAACCTTATTCCATCAAAGCCTTAAAGTGATAATGGGAATCAAAACACAACCGGTGGATATTTATGAATATTCTAGTAAAGACAATTTCCAAGCCTATATTGCTGTTCATAGGAAGCCATTAATTATAAGGAATTTCGATATTGGTGAATGCTTGCAAATATGGTCAACGGATTACCTAATCGAGAAATTAGGGAAAATGGATGTGAAGGTCCATATTTCCCCTGTTGGCCGAATGAATTTTTTGCACAAAAATTTTACATATAAAACTATGCCCTTTGAGGAATTTTTATCTAGAACTTCAGGAAACAACCGTAAGAAACCTGATAAAAGTGGGTTAAGACCAATTTTGTGTGATAATGAAGTTTTGTATTTAAGAGCTATTGGCTTTGATAGAAGAGGAAGAAATGTTGCGAACTTTAAACATGATTTTCCACAGGTAGCTAATGATTTAAATTACCCAGACATGTTTGATGAAAATAAGTTTTTCTCTAGTGTTTTACGAATTGCATCACCAGGAGTACAAATATGGACTCATTATGATGTCATGGATAATATTTTAATTCAAGTCTCTGGAACAAAACGTGTTGTGTTATTTAATCCTAATGATGCACCTTATATGTATTTAAATGGTGACAAATCTGAGGTTATGAACATAGATAACCCTGACGCTACTCTTTATCCTGATTTTTACAGGGCTGTTCAGCATTTATGTGAACTGCAGCCTGGAGATATACTTTATATTCCTGCATTTTGGTTTCATAATGTTTTATGCAACACTTTTTCAATTGGTGTCAATGTGTTTTGGAAACATCTAGACAATGAAATGTATGACAAACATGATGTTTATGGGAATAAAGACATCATACCAGCAGCAAAGGTATTTTTTATTGTTTATGTTTTTAATTTTGATATAAATAAATTATCTTGACATCATTTTTTGATATTTTAAGTGAATAGAAATCACGTCTTAAAAGTTTTTAGGCCAATTTGGCTTATTATGATTTATTTGTTTGTGAATTACAAACTATTTTAATACTATACTTAAATCCTAATGGATGGCAATATTTGGAACTTATATGTTAATCGATGTAAATAAGATTTATTATTATATTATGTGGAAGTGCATATTATCATTTATTTTGCCAGTTTATGAATAGGAGGTGGAATAACTACTGGTCTCATAATGCCTGTGTCATAAAAATTATGATTTTGAGTGAAGCTTGCCAGAATGATCCTACGTATAGGGTCCTGAAATAATTTTTTAAATAATATTGAACAAGGAATCGTTCTTTGTATCATAATCATAGATTTACAATGGCATTAGAATTTTGCATACCAAAGGAATATCTCTAGGATAAATTGGCTTCAGTCATTTTGCTGCAATATTTATGATTTTTCTACTATAGCAAATACAGATATATAGACGTGTTTATAATGAATTTTATGGTCAAAAGAAGCATAACATACCCATGTTACTAACTAAAACTAACAAGTCTCCATGGAAATTGGTCATTACATTGCCTTCTAAAGCTTTAACGTTGATCATAGACATAAAATGTGAACACTTGTTTAAAGTGGTCTTCTAAAAAAAAAATATATTTTTCAAATATAAGCGAAAAAAAAACCTTTAACGTTTCGTTTTTGAAAAAAAACAAGGTTCTTAGCAACATTTCTGTCAGCAAACCTCAGATTCATGTTAAACAACCGAAAAAACTGGGGTGTATCAAAATTTACTACAACAAAACTTTCCTCTAGTTTTCTTATATTGCCTTGACTAAAACAGTAGTTTCTTAACAAATTACTGAAGTCAAGACTCTTCATAAATTGTAGTGGTACTTTATAGTGAAGTAGATATTTTTATCTGTATCTCATTTGTATTACACTGTTGACAAAAATATTAAAAATAATTTAATTATGGAAGGGTATAAATTAACCAATTTATTTTTATTACTGAAATTCAACCCATTTTATAATGTTTCGATCTTATTTTTGGTTGAGAATTGAAGATTCCAACTGAATGTTTCTAGTTTTGTTAATTATTTCTTTATAATCATTAATTATAAATATTTTCATAATTTATAGACCTTATTATTTTAGATAAAATATTTTTGATTAATCCAGTCAGATAATTGTTCTGGATAAATTTGCATTTGAATGATTATTAGTATTATTGTAATGAACAGTAATTGGTTTTTAGGCCTTGGACCACATAGGCAAAGCAAGAAATTTATTGAAAACTGTTCCAAAGGAATGTAGATTTTTTTACTTGCACCGTTGTATTGCGGATTTAAAGAAGGCAATTGATGAAACTTTGAATGTAGAAACTGTTCAAGTTTCAATGCTTTCTGAAGAAATTGCTAAAAACTCAAGTATGCTTGCAGAAACTGCCATTTCTTTAATTAATTATGAAGAAGCTGTCCAGACTTCAAGTTCGTGCAAAGAAACACCTAAAGCTAAAGATTGTGAAGAAGAAACTGTTCCTAGATCAGATTTTAATCTAGAAAAATCTGTGACTTTAAATGGGACAGAAAACAATGCTAATACTTCTAATTCTTATCAAGAAACATTTGGGATTGTAAATAATAAAAATGGAACTTCTGATAATTTAAATTTTTATTTAGAAAAAAAAAATGCTGTTGACTGTAAAGAACCAATTGCTAGTACTTCAAAAAATCATGACAATATTTATTTAAAAGGTGATGAAGAAAATATTCAAGAATAAGCTGTCAAAGAAAAAATAATAAATTATGTATATTTTTTATAATTATTCATACTTTTATTCTTTTTTTTCTTTGCTACTGTGACCTAATATAATGCATTATTGCGTAATATATTTTTTTATTTATTATTATGCAATGTATGAGAGTACAGATTGAAACTGAATTGTTTTCAACTTGCTGTAATGCCAGAGCAAGCTTGTGTAATTGAGCTTAATCAAGATCTATTTCATTAACAAACAAAAGAATCTTTCTTTAGGTTTTAAGAGAGCAATAAACCTTAGATTCAATAGAAAAATAATAAGTGTTGGACCACCAGATATTCTGTAGTCTCCCTTGAAATTTAGTTACTCTTATGGGGATGTCACTCGATTAGTTCTGGAGGAGCCAGCATCCAAAAATCAATCTGATCCCAGGAGAAGGTTTGAATATAAATTTTAGAAAGTGTATTTTATTTTAAGTAAAATTAATGTTGTCTGCCATTCCAGAGCCGCTTCTTTAAAAAATGGCAGTTGATTTAAAGTATATTAGCCCAGAAACGTGAGGATCGAAACTAGAAATATTTTGTAAAAAATGTGGGAAAAGGTATTATTTTTCTAACATTAAAAAAGTTTGCACTCAGTGGACGCAGAATTTGATTCTATAAGTTCTTCCTTTTAGAGAACTCATTTTGAAGATACAAAGCTAATTATAGTAATTTGTCACAGTTTTTAACAAGTTTGGTAAAAATCAGCGTTCGTTGGCTGTGGTTTTGTTCCATACCACTTAACCAAATTATTAAGTTTAGGTACTCATTCGATGCACAATTTAACGCTCTTCAATTTCTTAAAGAGCAAATTTTTTGCTTTGATAGATTGCTTCGGAGTTGTATGTGAAAAACAAAAAAAGATCGATGGCTTTTTCAGCTGTGAAAAGTTTTCGCTTGGCGGTTGGCGTTAGGAATTTGGGGTTTTACATGTTTGAACCCAAATACATAAGTAAAAAAATAACTTTTCCCACATTTTTCACAATTTATTTCCCGTTTTAAACCTTAAGGTACTGCCCTGTAACTATAACTTATATCACTACAACCCATGAAGAGTCTTAGGTTCAACACTGAGAAAGTACTTTTACAAGGCCAACAGTTAGGCAGGGAGGTGATTGGGCTGATATCACACTCAACCAACAGGTTTTCCCCCTTAATTACTTATTTAATTAACAGTACTCACTTTAAAGAGGATGGGTTTATCTCAGGAGAATCTGCAGACCCCCAAGGTCGATCCACGGCTGATGAAAAATTACTAGTCATCAGGCGGATTAGAATAACACACTTTCGTAATTTACATTCAAACCTTCGCCTGCAATCAGGTCGGTTTTAGGAGCCTGGCTCCAAGGCGTTATAAGATTTCTTAGTACTTGCCAAGCTAAGCTAAATATTGTATATTAATAAATATGTCACTCTTTATATTAAAATAAACACTATAACACCATCGATTCTTTAGGGTATATACAATAAACAAGTAGCATTAATAATTTATTAACATTTGTCAATAATAATTTTATTTTTTTCACCATTTAATTGGTGACTCATTTTTTTAATATATATATTATATAGTTAACTAATGATAAATTTATAATAGTAATCTTATCAGAAGGAATTATACAAAAGCAAAAGCAGGTACCAAGGGATCCCTTCTCATATTATATCAACGGTCAACCATCTCTATATAAAAATTGTAATTTAGTTTTTCCCCATGTTCCTTAGTTTAGAAAACACCCCTACCCATTAATACCCCACTAAAGTATGGTTCCTCCAAAAATTCCTGATCCCATAAATATGGGTTCCCCATAAATTTATATAATCCCATAAACAATTTGACAGCACAACTTTGTTCATTCTTTCTCCTTTTGAGGAGTTCCCCTGTACCATTCCATAATATACAGGGGGTTTCAGGGTTAAGTGGCCAATCTGCAAAAATGAACTAAGGACCTCAAAACAAGAATCAAATTTCAAACGCTTTGTTTAAGAGATATTCACACCTACAGATTTTCATTGTGATGAATTATTTATGCTATATGAAATAAATAAAACCTATTTATTTGTTCCAACTACTTTATTAATTAAATATAAACATTAACATTCATATAAAATGTTGTTCAAAGTTAAGGTATGTCTGCAAAGTCTTTGTTTAGTTGAATGTCTGGAATTTTTTAATAATGATTACTATGATTTAGTTGAACATGTTCCATTACAACTGAGAAGGGACATGTGGCTTCAAATAGATGGCTGTCCTGCACATTATGGAAGAGGTCCACAACAATGTCTAAATGTTAATTATCCTAATCAATGGATTGGCAGTGCAGCCCCAGTGGCTTGGCCTGCATGCTTTTCAGACCTGACACCACTGGATTTTTACTTTCACTTACTTATATATGAAATATATAGTAAGGGAAAGTATTGCGATCGCGAATCTCAATTTTTAACGAAAATACATTTTTTGAGGTCCCTAGATTCGAAATAACCAAATCCCTCAAAGTGGTCTGTGTGTGTTAACAGTCTAGTTCAAAAACGAAAATTACGAAAGTGAAATTGCATATTTAAGGTTTTTATATGCTTGGGATGTTACATCAACGTTTTCGTCCGGAAGTGGCACTTTATATCATGGACTAAACACATTTTTACGATTTTCTCGAAAACATTTTGATTAAATTCATGATATCAGTGTAAAATTAAGCTGTTTTAAATAAAATAGCATGGCTTAAATGGCCAATTTCAATATTAGATTCTTCTAAAGAACCTTTAATTTTTTATATTTGAAACAATTGACCATTTCACATTAATTTATAATATAAAAGATAGTTAAATATGAAAGAATTTAATGATTAACTAAAGTATATATTAGAGATAATAACGGATAATTCAGGAATAATAATAAGTAATTCAGGAACCAAAGGAATACCAGCGCACCCGAAAGATTAGAACACGCTTCCATACCTAACATGAGCCTAATATAATAAGAACTGTGACAATATTATGTAAATATACATATGCGGTTTTCATAAATGCTATTAGTATTATTTAATATTTAATTGTATGGATTATAGCAATATAAATATTAAAAGTTGTATATATAAGGGTACTTATACAAATAAAAATACCCACAATGAAATATAAATCAATATAGCATTTATAATTTTTACTTTCAATTTCCCTTTGAAAACACTTAATTCTGTTAAGCAGAGGAAAGTAAGTGAAAGTTGTGTAGTGCGCGTACCTCACCAGATTTTTTGTTTGGAGTGACATTAAACAGAAATTCTATGCAAGTCCGGTCAATGACCTTAATTCCTTACGAAGAAGGATAATTGAATCTTGTGAAACAATAACAAAATCCAGTGGCGTTCTGCCTCTGCTGCTGTTTAAGAAAGATGCCGAGCCTGTCTTAATTCTCAAGAAAATCACTTTGAACAACATTTGATACGAATGTTATTGTTTACATTTAATTAATAAAGTAGTTGGAACAAATAAATAGGTTTTATTTACTTAATATATAACGTTAATAATTCATAACAATGAAAATATTTAGGTGTGAATATCCCCTAAACAAAGCGTTTGCGGACATACTTCTGAAGACATTTTTTTTTTTTTTTTTGAGGATCTTAATTCATATTTGCAATTTGTTCACTTAATTCTGAAACACCCTGCCTAAGCCTAAGTTATCTTTATTAACTACAAAAATAAAAGACATTCGTTTTTGATACAACTCCATTGCCTCCTATGATTGATATGTTCGATATTAATCTTAACTTTCCAATGGTGTTTTGTACATCTATATTACTACTCTTATTATTGGAAATTCGTTTTCAACATATGAATTTTTTTTTTCATAATTAGGGTATTTATCCATTTTTTTTTATTACTACTAACAATGATAGACCCTTACTAATTTATAATATTCAAAAGTAAAGGAACATGGGAGAGGAAAAGATTGAATCTTCAAGCCCTGTCACACTATTTTAATGAGGACACCATCATTGATATTAAACACCATTTAATTTTATATCAACTTGGTAACGAGTTTAATAAAAATGGGAACATTTAGAATTTTTGAGATAGTAGTATAAATATATGATAAAAAGCGGAACCTCCGGGAAACTAGATTTAATAAAAAAAAAATGCCATAACATCTTACACACTTGTATGTTATCAGTTTTTATACAACCAGGGCCGCGTGTGTTTTTTGCGCATGGGGCGAAATTAAATCAGCACCCCCCTTCCCCTTACATCCCTCGAACTCTAGCTAGTAATATATTTTCTCATGCTTATATGTATTGAACTTTACTATACTTTTGCACTTCCGTTTACGACCATTAAACTTCTAGTCACCTTTTAATTTATCTAACAACAAATGGAACTGTGGTTAGATATCATAATTCCGCTAGTCATGTATGATGATCTAAGCCAACATTAAAAAGTAGAAAGAGGATAGAAATAAGATTTTACAAAAGTATTATGTATTTTTTATACTTATTTTTTCCTGATTCGTGGCGGCGCACAGTGGGCCGATTAAGGGAAAACCCGCGACATCGGCTAAATCAATTTTTTTTTTTCCATTGAACTACTCAATAAAAACAGTGAAAAATGTATATTGTGCCAACTGAAAATATTCTCGGAAACTCCGCGAACAACACAAGGTATCAATAAAATAGCTTATCTAGTTTTTGGAGAACTAAAAAAAAAAAAAAATCACTTCAACACCATTTCATATAGGTAGTTAGTTTCTTTCATTTTTCTAAAGAAATTATCGTTATTTTTATGAAAAAAAAAAAAAAGATTTCGGGCTGAAGTCCCCCCCCCCAAAAAATTAAATCCTGGATGCGCTAATGACATTTAGATATGTTCTTAAAAAATATCGGTTTTCGTAGGGCTTCTTCCCCCCTTCTTCAGTTCTGATGAACCAAATTACTGGAAAGATCTTTGTTATATATTGTTTTTTTTCTTGGTAGTACAGAAAATACGAGATAAATTCTCTTGATATTTTATACACGAAGCTAACACTAATGGAAATGTATCAGACTAAAAACTAAAAATTATCGATGACTTACTATTGTTACAGCATATTTCCCGGTATTCAAGGGTAATGGAGAAACTGAATCATTGAAGTACCAGTTATTTAATATTAAGTATTTAAATAATCCTCGTTATGGTTCATGCTTGCTTTTCAAGGTTGTTACATTTTCAAAAAATAGAAATCAACTGAAAAAAAAATTCCTGCAGTATACATCTCTCATGAATGCGAGTGTAAATCAAGAATAAAATACCAAGATTAGATATATGTGTCAAGATGCCAATCTACAACAAACCAATGAATACATCGAGCTTACGGTATCGATGTGTATGTTCCACCCCAAGCAGTGGTCATATATTTCATAATATCTTTATCAGGTGGTTATCAAACATCATTTTTACCTCAAATTGTTATGGTAAGAAATAAGTGGCATTCCAATGACCGATGATATTTATGAAGAATTATTTACGGCAGTTCTTAAAGGTGATACAGAGAAAGTTAAAAATATGCTTACATTACCTTGTGTGAATGTCAGAACTAGAGAAATTTGGGTTGAATGGCCTTTTCTTCACTGTGCTCCCACGGCAGATATGACAAAATTGATTTTATCTCATGGAGCAGATATAGATGCTAAAGATATTAATGGTTTGACTCCCCTACATTCTGCCATAACAAGTTTAAAAGGGGTGCCTGTGATCCAAGAACTGTTGATACATGGGGCAAATGTTAATGCAACTGATTATGAAGGTAATACTCCACTCACATTAGCAATAATTTATGAATATTTAGAAGCGATCAAAGAACTTTTGGAAAATGGTGCTGACATTAACATTAAGAGTACCTCATCATTTCTAGGATATTCTACTCCTTTATGCATCGCTGTGAGGGATTATAAAGATTGTGCAAAAATCATCATAAAGATGATTATAAGAAAATATTACAAAGATTTCAGGAAAGTAATTAACTTGGACCCTTATATTAGTTTTACGAATCATAGAGAGATATCTGATTATCTCGAGAAATGTGTTGATGAAATTAACCGGATGGAAACCATTAAAGTAAATAAATATTTAACAATCTCTGACTTACTTACAGAAAAAGAAGTCGTCAAACCCCTGTATGTAAGCTATGACACCATGGAGAAAGACATATTGTATAATTATCCTATTTACCATGATATTATCCTACCGCGAATAGAGCTGTGCATCAATAGGGCAAAACTGTTTGATAAATTGAAAGATTTACAATTATGTCTTTTAAGTGACACATTAGGTATCTTGAACACTGACTGTATATTTAAAATTGCAAATTATCTACCAAATGATGATTTAAATAATTTAATAGAATCATTTTAAATTCTGTTTCTTGCAGATTCTTTTGTTATTAATTTGCAAATGAAAAATTTTATTATCAATAATGTGAATAAGCCAGTTATATTTTGATTCAATATCGGTTTTATGCTCTTGTCTTATACTGGAGGTCTTAAAAGTTGGCACCTTTTTATAATATATTTTAAAATTATTGAATGAGGTAGTTTTTAATTAAATGTTGAAAACCTTTTAAGGTTTCTAATGAAGTATTTATATGATAAAATCAAACTGACAATAACAATTTTCTTAATCCTAATTTTTTTTTTTACTTGATAACTGGTTTTATATTGTCATCCTTTCACCTTGTACGGCAATTATTACACGTATCTATTGTGTTAAAGTAATGACAAAAATTCATTTAACTAGAAATAGAATAGAGGTAGCAATGCTTATTATTAAATTCAGATTTTTAACAAATCTGGAGGAAAATTAAATCATTATACACTATTCAGTGCCCTTCAAGAACTGTGGTGGACTGTAAATTAAATTTATTTGAGAATACTTGTTTTGGGTTTCTTACAAGTTATGTATCGATAATTTTTAGAAAAAATTGTTTAATGAATAAATGATTATTCACTAATATATATTCTGATTCTAGTTGCATGTACGTACTCATAAAGTTTTGAATAGCAATCGACAATAAGATAAATATTTCAACATATTACTATTCTAAAAGTTTTATGATAAAAATCAAGATTTGAATAATATTTTTAATTATTTTGTCACTTTAAAATATAAATTAGATAAACTTACCATATCTGACAGATAATATCAATTTTACATTTTGTTTCAAATTCACATTTTATACTTAAAAAGTCTTCCCCAAATGTCCGTAATATACCATCTATTATTTGGCTAATTGAACTTGATTCAAGAGTGCAATTGTTTAGAAACATACATTGAAAACTCAAAACTACTCGATCCTCCCCAATCTGGTTTTTGTCCTGACTTCTCCACACAATCCGCTCTACTAAAAATTACCTATGACTTATGTACCGCAATGGATGAAAAAATGCTAACTGCATGAATACTTCTCAACTTTAGCAAAGCTTTTGATTCCTTAGACCACTCTATACTCTACACTAAATTAAAATCTCTATCAGTCTCCAACAGCTCTATCCTTTAGTTTCAATCTTTCCTCTCCTATAGAACTCAAGCATTCAGCTTTCCGAACCAACACCTATCATCCTTCCTTACGCTGTCCTCTAGAGTGGCCAAGGGTTTGAGCATTTCCCCTCTCCTTTTTAATTCCTATATAATTGATCTTCCGAAATCCAGATCTAGCACTGTTCACACACCATTTATACACTGATGATTCCCAAATCTACTTATCCTTTCACCCTTCTGAGCTATTACTCGTGTTTGCCAACATTCAGACAAAACTAAATAGGATCAATGCCTGGGCAAGTCTGAATAATTTAAAGCTAAACGAGATGAAAACTCAGGCCATTATTATAGGTTCCAGTTCTCTTCTTAAATCCATCTGCTTCCTTCCTCCTTTAGTCATCAACGATCATCCCATCACATTCAGCTCCTCCGTTAAAAACCTAGGAATCACAATTGACGAAAACCTCTCATCGCCCTCATCTCCCAAAAGTCAATAGGTAACCTTAAGTTATTTCATCGCACCCGCCACATACTCCCACAACCTATCCGCAAGCTCCTTGTATCCTCCTTATTTTCCCCGACTTTAACTACGGCTGTGTGGTGTATGGAGGCATCACGATGGTACTTGAGTCTACATTGAAGCACCTTATGAATTTCTGCTTAAGATTTGTCTTTGGTACTTAGAGGCCGTCTCATGTGTTCCACTTTTACGACAAATTAAAGTTGCTCTTCCCACCAACAATATTTCCTTGGATTTTTTCTATTCTAAACGATCAATACGCGACACCCCTCCTACATCTACAGTTCAAACCCGTGGTCCACTCTCAGAAAACAAGATCCCGTGTTTCCGACCTTTATATCTCTTCCCATAGAACTAAGATATTTGAATATCCCTTTATTGCCCGATCCACTGCCTTTTGAAATTCCTTGCCATCTGATACCCGCCATGCTTCTTCCTTGTCCTCATTCAAATATCATCTGTACCAATTCCTAATCACATCCCAAAATGACGAACAATGAAATAAATATTATGAATTAAATTTTGACTGAGATGAATGGTTGTTGAAATTGTTTGAGTTTTAATTTTAAGAATCAACCCATAGTGCTTATAACATCATTTTGTGTTATCTGATTTCTGTTTTTCTTTTCATTTAAATAATGTTTTTTTAATATACTTTCACTGAAGATATTGTATATATTCTTTAATTTTGATTAATGTAATTTTTGGCCAAATGTGGTTTTTATTTTTTGTTCATAATTGTTATTCTAAGGGACCTCGTCCCAGAATAAAGGTTATTTTCTATTCTATATCAAATAATTTCAAGAATTTCCTCAGAAATAAGTCTGTTCCATAATGAATTTTCCAGAGAATATAATGAAGCTGTATAGACAGCTTAAAATATATTACATATGTACACAATATGTAACTAATACCTTGATTTTGAAGTGAAATGAAAATAATTTAATATTAATAACTTTAATATTTACATCAATTATGAAACAAAAATTCGAGTGCCATACAAAAACTTTTTACAAGCACTAATAAGTAATGGGTGCAACTAGCATAACATCTGATTTAGGCATATACACATTTTTTATGACTCAAATTTACAAATTAACAGTTTAAAATAGGCATGGTAGAAATGAATAGTTAAAAATGTCTACAGCAAAATTATTACAATTAATTAAGACAATATCTATTTACAGTATAATCACAACAATTTAATAACAAATAATGTTAACAAAACAATAGAGAGTAACCGGTTTCAAATAAAGAATTCTGTGCAATAAATAAGTTTTCGAAGTACCAGTAAAATCAGTAATTCTATAAGTTAAAAAATCTACAGTGTTACACACGATTAAAAAAAAAAAAATTACAAAATAATACTATTAAGGTACTGTCTCTACAAACTAAACACTCATAGAGGCACCCTGCGTGATGATTAATACTTATTATATAAATTTTATTATATAAAACTTTTATATATTTATATATAAAACTAAAATTAAATTATTGAGGATCAATTATTCTGACCATCAAAATAAACATTTTGATTTTATACCATATACACAGAATTTACAGGTCACTTGTGAATATAATTATCAAATAAAGTTTAACAATATCACTATTTACAAACTAACACAAAATCACAGATTTTTGGACATCTCCTACCGCCTCATGCTACTATTCAAAGGCTGCATTAGGCTTCCATTCAGATATCCATAAGTAGCATACATAGTATTCTGCTGGGGATCTTGTCCATATTGACCTTGCATGTTCATCATTTGCATAGGGATTTGGTTTGTTTGATTGATAAAACCTGGGTTGGTTATATAGCTAGTGACAGTGGCTGGCGACTGCTGGCCTGGAATTCTATACCCATTAAATGAGCTACTATATTGAGCCATTAAATTAGAAGGGTTAAGAGTCGCTGCAACATTTGTTCTACTGGATGAAGTTGCAGGTGACATTTGGTGAACAGGTACAGAACTTCTTCCAGTTCTACTTGAAGAGCTCATATTGCTCTGGTAAAACTTATGATAAGATGCTAAATTAGGAGGGGGCGGAGTGGCATGGGAGGGTGGAGTAGGGGTGAGATCTACTGCAGGAGGTGGCGTCATAGTTCCACAGTGGCCAGGTGGGAGTGTATCAAGGCCGTTGGTCAGTTGCTGAAGTTTTGCCAAGCTACTTCCAGGTGAGCCTTGAGGGCTCTGGGTATGGACAGCAGTTTGAATATAAAAGTTAGGGGTCGAACCAGAACATGAAGGAGATGGACCTAATCTCTGCGAAGAAGTTTGTTGTGCCATGCGATGACCTAATACAGATGTCATAGGAACACTGACATATGTTCCACCTTGAGGCATAATGTAATTACTCTGAGAAATAACACCATGATGTGGATAGTGAGGAGGACCAGGTGAAGATGCAGAAGCTTGATGAAGATGCATAGATTGTTGAGGATGAAGAGATGGAGTTGTTGTAGGTGCTGGCGGCGTCGATCGAGTCCTTTGGGCATGCTGTTGCTTACTTCTGCTACCACTACTAGGTTTTAATAACTGCTGATGATGTTGTTGCTGGTACTGAGGCATATGAGGGGAGGCAGGAAGATGCATTGAATGAGGAGAAGGAGCAATATGGTGATGAGAATGATGATGGCTGATTCCTATACTTTCAGATCTCTTAATATTGGTGGCCTGTTGAGCACAATCAGCATAGCCTGCTGCAACAGACGGAGGCCTTGGCTGTTCTGGAACTGAAGGAGGCATTTCGTTGGATGAAATGGACTGAGGAGATTCCAAACCACTAAGCTGATTTACATCAAGGTCACACTGACCGTAGCCATGAAGAGACTGAACAGAATTAGTGGTTGAGTCAGGGGTATAAACTCCCATACTTGGCATTTCAGGAGGTTTCACAGAGCCAGGATTTATAACAGGTTCTTCAGGTTTTTTGCTATTTGCTTCTGGTTCAGATGATTTTTCTTCAGCAGGCTTAATATGTTCATCATCTAAGATAACAATGGGTGATGATATGGTCCTTTCTTTTTCTTTTTTGTCTTTTGGTGGTGAATGACTTTTTGGAGATTCAGAACTGATTACTTTTCGGCAGTCAATATCCAATTTTTTCTCACACAATTTTTGGTCTTCATGCTCTTTGATTTGACCTTTAATTTCTATAGGAGGAGATAGCTTCTCTGACTCTGAGGCCAAAACATTATTTAGCTGTTCTGGCCTCTTTGGTGACAATGGTTTCTGAGGAACTGCCAACTCCAGAACAGGAGGTAGCTCTTCAGTTCCTTTATCATCTTCTTTAGGAACTTCCAATTTACTTTTATCAGATTTCTCTTCCTCCTAAAACAATAAAAAACAAAATAACTCAATGACTTCCCAAATAAAATACCTAGTAAAAGAATTACAAAATATATATATATGTTAACCATACCTTTAAGGAGGGTGATGGGCAAGAACTGCTGCTTTGGATTTCTTTATTTTCATCCTTTGCATTTTCAACTAAGCTATTACCTTCTTCCTCTTCATCTTTTTTCAATTTTTCAGGAAGTGGGTTTTGTTCAATAATTTCAACATCAGACTCTCCAGATGTATCTTCTTTTTTGGTTTCTACTTCTGGAGCATCTGCTACTTCTTTTGAAAGTTCTGGAGGTTTTTCATCATCTTGAGATTCAGAAGAATTTCGTTTTTGATTATGTCCCTGGAACTGTCAACCAATATTTAGATAAATACCTTATGAATTAATTCAGGATAAAATATTTATTTAAAGTGAAAATTGGACTATAATGGGTCTGCCACAATAGTAATGTCCACCTCTTTTGTTTTTTTTTAGTTTGTATTATTGTTTTTCTGATAAAGTTATTAATAATTATATGTCGATAGTCTGTTCACCAAGATAATTCCTCTGAGTAGAGGAGCAGGACTATCTAACATTCTTGAGAGAGGATATTACAATGGCATTCTCTTGGTGGACTACACTTCAATTTGAATGTCAAATATAAATATGTTGCCTGTCACCTTCCACTCAACATTCTATCATGGCTGTTCAGAACATTAACAATATCTGTTCTAATTATTCTGTGAGGCAAAACAGCCATCATAAAATAGCAGGAGAGTGACAACCAAAGCAGCTCCAAGAAACACTTAAAATTAAAATAAACTAACTTATTTCACAATAACTCCAAACAACTAAAGACCAAAATTTTGTTTTAGAGAACAAAGCTTTATTGGGAAATAATGTAAGCTGTCACACACACTCTAAGTGATTACTCTAATGAATAGTGATATTCTAATTTTTCAAAACCTAAACGACATGTGATCGCATGGCACAGCTGCACAAAGGAGCCTTTCAGCAAGAATTACAGTTTGCTCAAAATAAGTAGATCTTACAGTTTTAAAATGTTTGATATCTGTGCCAATATTATTGAAACAAAATTTGTTCTGTTCCGATCCATCCACTTATCAACATCAGAGTTCTATAACTTCCTACTGTTTTCAGTGACTTTAATATAAGTTTTAGTAAGAATTTAAGGAGAGAAATTGTCACTTCTCCATGAAATTGTCTTTCTTTTGATATCTTGTTTATCAAAATCCATCACTGATGAGAACCAGAAAACGTATTTAATCTATACTAGTGTATTATTTATATATTTGATAGTTGTAATGACCCAGGAGAGATATACCTTAATCAAACAATATGTAATAGAAAGACAGAGATAGTACACTACCTTTAGGGAGGGAGAAGAGGGTTCTGTTTTCGAGCTAACTAGTTCCTCTTTATTTTCAGTATTTTTCTCGCTTTCATCAGAATTGAAATCTTGTTCCTCTGCATCATTCATTGAATCATCGATAACTTCTACATCTGATTCAGCAGACATATCTTCCTGTTCTTGCTTAGGAGTGAATTCAACATCACTCTGCCCAACTTCTTTAGAAAGCTTAGGAGGTTTCTCGTCATCCTGACCCTCTGATATTTTACGTTTAGGAGGTCTTCCCTAAAAGGAAAATAAATAGATTTAGAATAGAAAATACCAACTTTATTGTTCTTACTAATCAACCTATTTATACCAATGAAAAAAAAAAAAAAAAAAATGCTACTTCTGTTATTTAAATTAATAAACACAATTCTTTCGAAAATGTAATAAAAGAAAAAAGTAATCTGTACCCAAGGGCAGTGTATATAGTAATATGAAAGATGTATTCATATTCCTTATAAAAAAAAAAAAAAAAAAAACGTAAAAAGAAAAATTAATTCTTAATACATAGCACATATCGAGTTAGTGTCTGATGTGAGTTGAGAAGAGGAATTGGAAAAGGAGAGTTTTAAATGTGAATAAGGAGGACATATGGCAAATTTTAAGAGGGAATGGAAATCTATGGAAAGAGGTATAAAGGTTACATGGTTGAGATCATATGGATAAAGGACTCAAGAAGATAGGAAGGCAAATGGTGGACGGACAATGGCTGTTGATTATTTGCTAAAGGAATATTCCTAAGAAGTATTATCTTCTGAAGGAGGGGAGTAGCATAATAGTGGGAAACACGAGAACATCTCAGGGTGCCATTGACGAATCTTATGAAGCTAGATATAGCTTATATATAATATATACATTAAGTTACATTATGCTCACTTATGATTGTGATGTATTTGATCATGTAATAAACATAATTAAATAATAATCATGAAACAACTAGTATTTTGGTAGTAAAAAAAAACAATTTTCACTCAATTGTTAAGGTTACTAATTAATGAGTTTAAATTACATTTATTTTTCTGGCAGCAGGACTATCCTGTTTCCAAGATCATCAAAGTTTTTTTTTTTTTTTTTTTCTTCTTGAAGATTATCAAAACTAAAGCAACTATTTTTCCCTCGCCTTTTAGGCTATACGGGGTTTACCCTGGTCCAGGGGAGAAGATGGGGAAATTATACTAGAGTTAAAAGACCTCCCAGCACTGGGATTTGAATTTAAAATTCAAACCCATTTTGAACAGTAATAAAATAAAAAATGGGAGCAGAGTGGCCGAGCAAAGCACCGCCATTGTGAAATAAAAAATTGAAAAGCCTACTTACCCTCCGTGGTTTAACACCCCATCTCCTTTGAATCTTCTTCTTCTTAAGCCCTTGTTGAGGAGTGTAACCTTTCCTAGATACTCCTTTCACCCAGCCTCTTTTCTTCTTCATAGGCATGTTGTCACTGGCTACACTGTCATTGAAAGTGCTCGCTCCACATGTAGAATTTAAGTCAACTTTATATTCAACCTCAGAATCTTCATTTTCTCTTGTAGATTCTAACTCCAATCTGTCAGTCTGGGTTTCCTCAGACACTGCCTTAGGTGTGTCTTGGACTGGAGACTTTGTACTAGCTTTTTTAGGTGTCTTCTTAAGCGAATCTGTGGCAGATGTTACAGCTTCGTTCTTGATCCTATAAATAGACAATCTTTTATGAGAGATTTTATTATAAACTGTAAAATAAATAAAATTTAAAGTGATTTGTTCAACATACGATGACTCCTTTTGTTTCCTCAACATTTCTTCCTTTTTGCGACGTTGTACCCATCTCTCACGAGCAGCAAGTACTCGTTTATTAACAACTGGAGTATCTTCTGCAAAAACAATAAAATAAGAATTAAAATCTAAATTAATAACAAAAAATATAACACATTTTTCAAATGGGCATTATCCTCTTTACCAATTAAAAAAAAAAAAATGTTAGCCTAAACTAAATCTTAATGAATATATGAACTACCTAATCTGTTTATAGGCTTATAATATAACAGCAATTGCTCATTTGCTGCAACAATATCATACCTCTAAATTTATGATTTTTCAGGCGTTATATCAGATGTTTTAAATACTACATTAATTTCTGTAAAACTATGAAATGAAATTTTAAAAAATGACATGACCAACTTTGAAATCTCAAAGATAACACTGCAAACTTAAAAATTACGAGTTAAAAATAAAATTTATAATAAAGTCTCTATATTGTGTTAGCTAAAATACCATCAATAAGGTAATTTGTACTTCACTGTAAAGAAGTAAAGTAATTTTATCAACTATAGAATAAAAAAGGTTGCGAGTCCCTGATTTGGATTTTAGTGATCTAATCTCTTTTTAACCAAAACATGGATTTTATTAAAAGATGTTTTATTAATTTTTAGGTTTTATCCTTTTGAGACATACATATTCATCACCTGGAGTAAAAAAACAAAGCTCTCTACTGAGAAAGTAAGAAAATGAGTCTGTGAAGAGTAAGACTTGTTTGAGAAAAATCTTAATGATAAAATAGTTAGTTGTATAATATTACCTTCGGGAGAAATTCTAGATGAAACATCAGGTTTCTTATCCACTTCCTTTTCCTTCTTTGGTTCAGGAGAAGATGGGCTAAGCCGCCTCCTTGGTCGCTTAGACCTTCGCCCACGACCCACAGCAGACTGAAACATTAAATAAATTTATATCAACTGTAACGAGGATTCCTTTGGAAAATATTTTTTTGGTTTAAAAATACAATTTTTGAAGACACAACTTGGAAAGATAGACAGAATTTATAACCTAGAAATTACAAAAGAAAAAAAAAGTTGTTAACAACCTTTAACCATTATACCCAAATAATAGGCTGTGTTATGTGGCAACATTGAGCAGGCTGCACTGCTAGAACACTTTTCAGCTGATTTTGGTGGCTCAGATTCGCTCTGTTGTTATATAATATCGAATAGTGTATTGGAAAAATGTTATTATTTTTACTTGATATAAAGTAATCTGTTTAGCTTCCTTTGAATGCAAGCTCTAATAAGTTAGGACTTCCCAATAAAATTAAACTTTAATAATAAGGTCATTTCATTGATCATTGGGTCAGTGTCATATAATCATCTTGTGAGCATAAATTCTTGATACATGGTATTTACTAACCACAAGCATAATATATTATGGGCTTTCAAGGGATGACATGAAAAATTTAGCTTACCAAAATAGAAAAACTAATGATAAGAAATTTGCTATGGTAAACAATGACTTGTTAAATTTTGGATGCTTAACACACAGTAATCATTAAGAACTCATCGCCCTATGTGTATTACATCTTTAACTGTTTTTTTTTTTTTTAAACTTTCAACTGGCTTTTTGGCCTATTTAGTAGTTTTTTATTTATGAATAAGGAAATTGATCCTAAACATTTAAAGATCTCTCCTAGGAAAAACCTTAAATTGCTTAGTTCTTGTGCGGGATTGTTTCACAGAAACCACTGGCAGAACTACGGGATGAAGACCCACCCCCCATCCTCCCTCTGAAGAAAAAAGAAAATATTTTTTTCTCGATGGCCCATAATTGTTTCTAAGATTAATCTGAGCCACAGGGAGGAGGGGCTGAAGCCCCCCAAAATGGTAAAATATAACCATGTTTTATGGAAAAAATATTAAAAAGTTATCTCTTAAAGTATTATTGTTCGCATAATTACATTTAAAACGACTTTAGGAATCACTTAAACACTATTTCATACAGGTTTTAGTTTCTTTCTTTTGTTCTAAAGTAATTATCGTTATTTTTATGAAAAAAAAAAGCTATCGGGCTGAAGCCCCTCCCCCTCAAAATTAAATCCTGGATCCGCTAGTGATTTGAGCTAAAGGCTAAAACAATCACATGTTCTTTTTTTTATATTAACACATATAATCAGACATTTCCTGAAGCTGAATATTTTGCAAAATTATTTTCTTGTACGGTATAACTGATGTCCATATTGTGGCAGAATGTCGTATTACTCAAGAAAAAAAAAGAAGAAGTTTCTGATAGATACAATGCTAAAAATGATGACTCAGTGTTGATCGTTTAGGCAACAACAGTTTTAGCCCAAATTTCAACCCTGAATAACTTGTGAATGTGTCGGACTATCTGATAAGGTCATATTTTAGTAATATTATTATTCAATAATAATTATAATTCCTATTATAACAAATATTGCCTAAGATACAATTCATAGCCAAGATATAAGCAGTGGCCCAAGGTATAATTGTACATCGGGCCACTAATTATTTATAAAAAAAGATTTTTTTAAACGCTGAAATCTGATGATAAAATAATTTTAAAATTAACATAATATCTTCAAAGCATGACACATAAAACTCTATTTTGAACTTTTAAATTTTTTTTTTATTTTAGAAGTTATGGGACATTGACAAAAAGTGACCCAAGGTACCCATATTCCCCACTACTGATTAAATCTGTAGATATAATTTAACTATACAATTAAATATAATTAAAGTTAGGCTACTTACTTCATCATCTAACTGTGAAGGCGATGGTTCAGGAGTCGTAGCCAAAACATTGAGCCTACTAGGCTTAATCAAAGGATTGGTGACTTCTACTTTCCTTTTTTTCTTTCTTACGTTCATTTCTTCAGAAGTATCTTCACCATCTGCATCACCATCGTCATTATATTTTTTCTGTATTCTTTTTCTTTTCTCTGGAAAACTTGAAATATCCGACTTTGGTTTCGAAGTTTCTTCTTTAAACATTTCTGATATAGATCTATAAAATAATTTTAAAAATAAATAAAATATAAAGATTCAGGTCAGACAAATAGCTGACAATGAATAAATTTAAGAAAAAAAAATTGATAAAGAAGAAATCTCACTTCTGTTTCAAGTTTTTGACCTTTTCCACTGAAACTGATTGTGAAGGTTCTTCCTTGATGATTTCTTTTTGGGCAACTTTTGGTTTTGAGATACCAGATGTCGAGGGTTTTACTTCTTCTTCTTGCATAAACGTTTCTTCAAGTTCATCATCACCTTCCTCACCCTCATCCGCATCCTAAATAATAATTATTTAAAAAATGACATGTTTAATCAAGCCTATAGATAATAATACAAAGAGTCTGAGAATACATACCGATACACGGAATGGGTTAACAAGATTTGAAACCAATGGAGTCCACCTTAAGCATTCTGGTTCAATCGGAATTCTTCTACTTTTATTCACCTTTTCCATATGTTTGTCGACCATATTCCAATCGACAACGATTGCAATACCAGGTCCATCTTCTTCCTGAATTCCTCTGTCCCAGTCTTCAACCATGCCCATATTTTGAAGCATCTCAGCTACATCTTGAGGTGCAACACCTGGTTAAAATCAAATATCCATTGAAATCTTCATTTTAAACTTTAATTTAGTTTCTTTATGATAAGTAATGGAATGTTAAATGTTGTTGACAGTCAATTAAAAATTAAGTTGATAGTAATTAAATAGGTAAAATTTTCTATGAAGTTTTATTATATTGGAGTGATATATGTCATTTCTATAAAACATTACAAATATAATTAAAAATAAAACCTGTTTCTTTGGAAATTGACGAAACCGAAAAATCTTCTTCTCTATGGTAGTGAATGTATTCCAGAATGATAGACCTCCAATAAGCATGGTATGAGACTCGACCCAAATCGGACAGAGGTTTTTCAGGTGTACCTGCCTGCCCTTCTTCTTTAGAAAGCAAGTAGCCTAAAAGGTAGGTTAAAAACTAATTATTATATTTTCTCTTAACGTTATTATTATCAATAAATTAGTCTTGAAAAAAGATATCAATAACAATGTTTCTAATAAAGTACTCACTGAAATCAATTAAAAATCTTCCAAACCCTTGACGCTGGTACTGTGGAAGTGTCATTATACAAGAGACATTATATTTTTGTTGACAGTGTTTTTCTTTAGAAAAATAACCTACTAGATGAAAACCCTAAAAAACAAAAGTTTAAATTAAAAAATAATTCTTTTCTTTCTGAAAAGTACAACATATTCTAATATAAATTTACCTTATCGTCATTTTGAGTTAGTACATAAAACAAGAAAGGTTCAACATCATAATACAGGGTTTTATGGTCTAAAAACAGTTTAGCTAAAAGACATAGGTTTTGACAATAAAACTTTGAACTATTACCATCAACCTGCAAAAAAAAAAAAAAAAAAATTAAATAATCACTGCATACTTAATGCCACAGTGTTCTTAATTTATCTTATTGGCTTTCTTAAACAAACCTCAAAAACGGAAATGTCATTATGCCTATAAATTTCTGTTCCAGGCGGCCACCTCCAAGTACACTTGTCAAGATGCCTATCAAGTACTGACTTACTTTTGGTGTACTTCAGGCAAAACTCACATAAGAAAAGCTTTCCTAACCTGAAAAAAAGTAACAAAATAAAACTTAGAAGTTAAATATTGCAATTGCGTATATCTAACACAGAAAAAATAGTGCTTAAATTCATTATTTACATCTTCCTCAAACCTAATCCTATCATTATAAAATGGATAAATAATAATTTGTATAAACTAAAAAATAATTATAGATATAACAATAATTACCTAGCATATTCTTGAGGAAAAGGAGAAGAATACCAAGTTTGTATATCGTATTTTCCAAACTCAATTGAAGCGGGACACCTCGTGGTAGCAATATTTGGTGTAATTAAACTTGGCGTAGGGACATGCTGGAGCTGATCAGGCTCCGGTACATTCGCTTTTGTAGCCTGAGATATAAAGAAAAATATCAATATTACTGTGATAACACTTATATATAACTTTATTTATATAATAGAATAATAATTAATATTATCTAATTTCAGTTTAATTTTGTTTACTTTAGTAAGCAGTTTTATGGCAGTCATAAAACTGCTTTCATAACTTAATATTACTAAATTGATACAAAAACTAATGGAATAAAATATTTACTCACAGAGTTTGCCTTTTCTCGAGCTAACTTAAAGCATTCCAAGTCTTTATTTGTACAACCAGCAGGCAAGTCGCTAGACAGCAAACTGTTAATGGTCGCAGCTGTAACATAACAGAAAATTAATTTTATATATTGGCTGTACTTCTATATCACAATATGTTTGTTAAATTAACATCTGCATCACAGTTGACTAAACTATTGAAGTTAGACAGTCGACTGTTCTACATATTGTGGGTGATAAATAGTCAAGAAACTGTCATTTTTTAAGATTTTTTTTTTTATTAGTGCCGATGTTTCAACCCGAACATGTGGGTCATCACCAGAGCTGAAAAATTGTCCAATACAATATTATAAGACAGTTGATGGTTAATAATGAAAAAAATAGTAATTGATGATACACGAAATAGACAAATAAAATATGTAATATTTACTCTTACTAACCGTGTTTCGAACACTGAAGGTATTCAAGTACTGACACTTTGGTAGGTAAACTAAGTCAGGAGACGTGGAAGGAGAGAGTAACATTTTTGTAGAATGCAAGCAAATAATTTGATAACTAAAATATTCGAGATGTATATAAAATTTGTGTTGTTACTTATAGTTAAAAAATTGTGACTATTGGCTGGTAATGAAATAAAAATAAATAAGTGATGACAGTCAATACAAAAATAAAATAGCTTGAGTGAAGGTATACATTATTAAGACAAACAATGTTTACAATAGACAATTGAATTGAAATGGTAAGTAGTACAATATTTTAAGAATAACAATATTGATCATAAAATATTTTGACAACCCAACCATACTTGCCACAGTTCCCAACCACCAAGAACAACTACTTCTGGGAGATATATTTATTAATTTGGAAGAAAAAAAAATCCTGTAAACCACAAAGTAGACAAAGAAAAAATCTGCAATACATATTCAAATATTTTCTGCATCCTCAAACAATAATTTATAATAATTAAAAATATTTCTTTCATTTTCCCCATTTCCTTATCAACGTACAGATATAACTATTCCCACATTTATTATATATATACATATAACATCTATTCTCAATATAAATATATACAAATTACCATAAACAGGCACAGATATGTTTATACTTGTACTATTAGAAGTATGTAATCCTTAATAAATATTATATATTTAAAAATATATATATTGTTTTGTGATCAATATTGTTATTCTTCAAATATTTTATAATATATTCTACTACCATTTCAATTCAGTACAATTGTTTATATTGTAAATATTATTTGTCAAACTATTGTATACTTCACTCAAGCTATTTTATGTTTGTATTGACTGTCATCTCTTATTTATTTTTATTTCAATACAAGCCAACAGTCACAATTTTTTAACTATGAGAAACAACACAAATCTTGTATAAATCTTGAATATTTTAGTTATCAAATTATTTCCATTCTATAAACAAAAATGTTACCCCTCTCGGATCTTGTTTACCTACCTTAAAAGCACATCTAGAAAATCCTCCACCGACCCTTTTACTTACCTACCAAAGTGTTAGTACTTGAATACCTTTAGTGTTCGAAACACCGTTAGTGAGAGTAAATATGACATATTTTATTAATTGATTATATACATTATTTTTTTGTTTGTATAATATATTACATATTTCATTTGTCTATTTCATGTATCATCAATCACTATTTTTTCATAATTAACCACCATCTGTCTTATAATATTATATCTCTGATTGTATTAAACAATTTTTAAGCCCTGATAGGCACTTATAAAAAATGACTGTTATATTTATCACCCATTGACTAAAGTAATATATCTTTATATATACACATTAACTTGTAAAAAATATCTTCCATTTTCATAACGATTTAAAAACATCTACATGAATACAATTCCAATTATAAATATTGATTTGAACAAAAATATAACAGTTTAAACTGGAAATGGTAGAAAATTTAAAAAATAATTTTGCCAAGGACTCAGATATTAAGAAAAGAGTGATGATTAGTGAAAACTTAAAAATGAAAAATGTATCTCATTAACATTAAAAACAAAAAAACTATTTGGCATAAAGAAATATACCAAATGAATTTGGCCGGTAACCTTCTGAATTGTTGTTTTGAAGCTTATTGGAACAGTCAAATGATAGTATGACCAATGAAAACCTGTGAACAAATTGGCAAATTTGGTTACTGTTTTTTTTTCCAGGTGTTTAGAGAACTTATTTTCACATATTTTAGGAAAATGTAATTTGAGAGTGGTAGGGTCTGTTCATTTCTGTTTTATTGTAGTTTAAATACAAGTAATTTCGGTATAGTTTACAGTTGAAAGAAGAGTTAAATACGACCTCATCTCTAAATTGATTTTTTTTAAATTGTCACATTTATTAATTGGTTTAGACTAAGAATTACAAATGGTTAACATCAGAACAGAATTTACATTATTTATATCATAAAAGGATATGTATGCTACTGTTACTTAAAATATTTATAATCTCACATAAACCATGAAATGATTCATACAGTTTAGCATTGCAGGAATATTAATGAAGCAAATGATTCTCTACTCGAGTATTTTCATGATTGTGAATGAGAATAGCTGATCTTAATGGGGATACCGTAAGGGTTAAAGTTTTCAAAATGAATACCTCTCAACCGACAGGAGATTAAGCACTACATAATAAATAAAAACACTTATAGCTTTAAATATAATCTTAACATTACGCTACTGCATACACCTGGAATGAGAGGGTGGAAATAAATAAACAAAAGCTTCAAATATACAAGGATCAAAACCAAAAAGACTGATCACATAAAGACATTAATTGTGGCAAAATACCATAATATTAGATGTGTCATCAAAAAGAAAAATAACATCTAAAGTAAATACTATAATATTCCAGAAGCTATGCTGAATGTTAAAGAAACCAAACATGAGAATTGGATATGGAGTGTTATCGGTAAGAAAATTTTCGCATCTTATAGCAGCAAACTTTCTGAGCAGGGCTGACATCTTAAAACTTATAATCATTAAATAACTAATTAGATAATTATTGTAATATAAAACAATAACGATCTTGATAAAAAGAAATCACAGAAAAAGAAAAATATATATCTAAATAAAAAAATTATTTGAATAAACAGCTAAATTTTATTTATTTATTGCCTAGTAGATAAGGCATCAGTCACCTAAATTTTATAAGCAGATAAGAACAGAATTTTCAATTAATTACATGAGCTAAACAATACGAGAAGTATAATGTTTTCAAAAAAATACAAAATTTTTATACATTCATACATCAGTTTAAAATTTAGAAGTATAAAACAGTCTTGCTTGCTTTATTTTTGTAGCCAGTAAAATATGCCATATCTTTGCTAATACTGTTCTGATTTTTTTTTTTGTCCTTTTTTATTTGTAGATAGATGATTTGATTAACTTTTAAGTAATTAAATGGATTTTTTTCATTAAGTGTATACTTTTTGAGTTAAGCACAAATAAGATTACTTTTCAGCTTTACATTTTCCTAACTTTTTCTCAGAGATGTACAATTAATTCATTAGCTGCTGCTATATATATAATTAAAAAAATTTTAAATGTTATTTTCTAATAAAAGTAACATGTTGTAAATGTTTATGAAGAGTTTAAGGAAAAGGTTTTACACAAGTTTCATTATAATAGTTAAGAGCCCTTATGGAGGTACAGTCTGTAAAAAAATAGTTTTTTTTTTTTTTTTCTATAACACACAAGATGCATAAAATGAATGATTTGGTACTCAAGCCTCACAGGCCATAATCAGAATAAAATTAATCTACCCGCCTATACCAGAGATTATCATAAAACAAATAGGAAAAATAAAAAAAAATAAATAAATAAATAGATTGGTCCACCCACCTAATCCCACAAGGGATTATTATAAAACAGATGACCAAATAAAAAAAAAATTAGTACACCCACCCATACCAGAGATTATCATAGAAAAAAAAAATATTAGTCCACCTCCTCATCATATTAGAGATCATCATAGAATAGACAGTGGACTAAGAAGTTAAAATACAATGAATTGATTTTTTATTGAATATTTAATAGTTGACCGGTGCATTATAAAGGAAGGAGATGGTCCGGGGTGGCAGTCATAAATAGGCTAAATATTGGCAAAACTATTTTATCAAAAGCCAACGTTTCGACCCGATTTTGCTGGTCTTCTTCAGGGAGGTGTGTTCAGTTAGGAGCTTCACTTAGAACTCAGAGTTTTGGTTAATAACCAAGCATCCAAAATTTGAACAGATTACAATACTTTCCTTAACTAATTTCCTAAATTAGGAGTAAGGAAATTAAAAATTTCCTTAAATTCCTACAAATTATAATATTCCTTTTTTTGTAAAATAATATTAGTTAAACTGAGAACTTATCTCCTGTGCCAGAGATCGAGATTTGCTGTGGCAGATAATTACTTGTTTAATTATATTAGCAATGGATTGATCCTGGGGTTGGGAGACCCTCCTGGGGCACAAAGCCCAGCTATGGTAACCCGAGTACCCTTGATTGGGAGAAAAATCTGGCGATTGAGCAACAAATAAACTAGTTGCCTGTTTTAGCTAATAGCCAATTTAGCTGAAAATGGGGCTACCATGACCAAATCAAGTTCCATTCTACTGTTGGCAATAACACATTTATGATTTATAATAATTAAGTTTCAGTAATTTAAATTATTTTCTTACATTTATTTCTGCAGAACAGAAATGTTATATGTCCTGACAGCATAATTAAATAGGAATTCTTATATTGATAACAAATACTTTTCACTACCAATCTTTAAAGAGACAAACAAGAAAAAAAAACCAAAAAATTAATTAAACTAATACAGGGTTAATGTGACGAACTGAAAGTTAATTCTATGCCTAAAATACAAATGGTATCAGATTTCCATTAGTTTCTAAATAACAACTTATTCCTACCATGCATGTATAATTAATACATATTATTAAGAAGGGTTAAAAAATATTGAAGCACTAAATTTTATCTAAGTAAAAAGTATTTTTATCAGCACATTCCAGGCTGCTGATTTATTAGACTTTTACTTTGCGTATCTCTATTTGAAACTAACATCATAAAGAAAAAATATTTGTGTATCATCAAATCTTCAGTTATTAGGGCTACCATGATTATATTAATGTTGGAGCACTTTTCAACTAAATGTTGCTGACGAACGAAATTGGCACGAATTGTAAACTGTTTTTAAAATCTATTAGCATTCTGATATTAAGAGGAACATATAGTAGTCTTCCTCGTGCTGTGAGTTGCTATGAGTATAGTTTTCGCTCACTAGCCAGAGTGGGAGTGTAGTCAGGTTAGGGTGGCTGAGTGGGCTAACGTGTGTGGCCCGGCAATTTGATAAACTGAAGATTATTAGTACAAGTTCAAATCCTGGTGGCAGGGGAGGGGAAGGGGGCTATTAATTCTGGCATTAATCCTTCACTCTCACCACTGGCATTAGAAAACCTTTACATAGCCAAAAAGATGAGAAAGGAGAGAAAGAAAGGAAGGTAAAATGGGAATGTCAAGATTCATTTCACGTGGCCCCCAAAAAATAAATAGTAACTGACCCGGGTAGGATTTGGACCCATAATGTTCTCAAAGTGCTTGGTTGCCACAACATAAAATTCAATTAGTTCTTGAGGCAAATAAAAAAAAATTCTTAAAACGTTTATAACTAATCCCAGCCTACTTAAATAATTAAGCTATTATCATGAAAGTTTACAGGTACGAAAATTAATTAATAATGATCTTCAACAAAATATTGAACTTAAATTTTTTTTTTCATTCTGTACAAATTATTATTACCTTACAATGACACCATTATAATTGTTAATGCATTTAAACTTCAAGTTATGTCAAATTTAAATGAAACTACAATTTAAAAAAAGTCAAATCTTTTTTTCCTACAGTAAAAATACTAAACAATTAGTCAATTTAATACTTTAAACATATTTAACTTTGAGACATGACATGTGCAAATTTCTTGATGATACGATACATTTATCCATGCAAATAGATAAGAAGTGTACTACAAAAATTTAAAAAGTTACAAAATAAAATACGATTCATAAACTGCTGCTACATTTTACAAATCAACAAATAATGAAGAGAGTCTAGTGATTTGACTCACATACATGGTGCTAGAAATACAAATGATTGGGACAAAAAAAAAAAGTATAATTAAATAATTAGTAAAAAAAAAACACTTTTAAAAATGTTATTTATAAAATATATGTAATATGTTAAAGGTGCAAAATGATTGTAAGAAGGAAGCAGGAAAGGGTTAAGTTGAAGCAGTGAAGGTGGGGTGGGGGTCCGAGATGCAATTAGTGATCCATTGACTCGATGCCTGGCCTGGGTGCAAAGGCAGGACTGGCTCTCTCAACAACTTCAATTTACCCCACATTTATATTCTTTTAACAAATCCCATCTTTTCCTTTCTGTTCCAGAAGATTGTTTTTTTTTGTTATTTACTCTTTTTAAGTTTGTTTTCTTTTATATATACAGCCGATTGTATGATTTACTTTGATAACTTGAATCGATTTCATTCAGATAAATATTCATTTGTAAAATTTATCTATTTAATAGATATGTTTATGAAAAAGCGAAATAAGAAGAATTAATGATTTTAAAAGCTGTTTAATATTAATTGATTGTATGTTAAAATTCAATTCAAGCCATTGATTTGATAATTATTATTTTCCTGCCGACAAGATAATGTAGAGCTGTTGAGAGCTGACCAGAGGGGAGGGGGTCTGGAGGGAGCTAGGGGAGCACCTTACCCGCTCTGCCTGACGTCTCCTCCATGTTTCGACTCCTCTCCCCTCCATTCAGCTGTTTCCTCCTCTCGAGCTCGGCCGATTTACAACATACAGCAGACTTGATGAGACTGGAAGGTGATGGCTGAGGCTCTGAGTCCTTCTTCCTTTTCCTTAGAATAGGAATCAATGGAGACACTAGCTGAGGAGGTTCCGGCTCTCTCGGCGTAGAGTTCTGTTGCTGAGAACGGGGGGCAGGATCAGCTTGAGCAGATAATGCAGCAGCAGCGAAACCCCACGGACCGTCATCCTCCCCAAGTGACCCAAATGGGAGCTCCTTTTCAGAGTAAGAACTCGCTGGGAGGGGAGGTATATGTTGGGGAAATGGTGTCAGCGGTGTGACTGGAGTAATGACTGGGTCCCTATCATGGTTAGTTGGGCCTCTGGACGTTTCTGGTCTAGGCCCACGATAAAATGCAGACCCACGGAAAAATTTCTGTTTTTCCTTTGATATTACATCTGAAATTTCCTCGCGAGGGCCCCCACCTGGGGATGGGGAGGGGGGAAGAGGGCTGGAGGCACAGGGGGAAGGCTCATTACCATCTTCAGAGCTGCTATCCAAGCTCAAGGTTCTCGTTTTCCCCTTCTTTCCGACTAAACTTGCACGAGCTGCTTTCCTGTAACAATTATATAAAATGAAATTAATTGCAGTATAAAAGCTTTCTTAAATGAGTAAGATGATAACAGATTTCTGGATGCTAATGAAATATCCTTCACCATAAGAAAATAATATATGTCCAATATGTAAGTGAATCAATCACAATGAGGTTATTCCAAGTTGTGAAATTAACAAAGAGAATCCACTACTTGGCTCCCTGAACAAATCAACATCCAAACAGATATGAAAAAGAAATTTATTATTTTGTTCACCGACGTGTTTAACACAATATATCAGAAAATAAATTGATGTTGTCTTGTAAGAATGTATAAAAGGAAACAAGTTTAATTAACCAAAATCCTTAAGGTTAGCTTCCAAGATATGATCCTATTTAGAGAGACATAGAGTTATGGATTTACTTTCAAGTTCAAGTTGTTCAGGTTCATTATTGTTCTTTAAATCAATATCATGTTAGCATCATTATATCTGATTTGAGTTGAGTTGAGTTCTTGAAATCGTAAATAAAGCCCATATTTTTATACAAACACACACTTTATTTACATGCAGTTTTTAAACTGCTAATCAAATATCTTCACGAATCATTGTATCCAAAAGCAATTAATCAAATTATATAATGCAGGTTCGATGATAAATGCATATATTTGCCTATATTGACTATTCCAATTATTAAAAAAATACTAATAAGAGATAAAAGATACATTCCATTTTCAATAAACAAAACAAAGCTAACAAGTTAGTGACTTCTTAAAATACAAATTTTTTTTTCTTAATTTCAGTTTTTCATGTCCTCTTTCTTATATTTTTATACTTTTGAACACCAGACTCAGTTTTATTTTTGCATTCTTCACAAGCGGTAATATTTATATAGTTTTAAATTCCAAAATCAAGCTCATCGTTTGTTTCAAAACTGAAATATGGTCCCAACACTAACAATACCAAAGATGAAAAAGATTTTAAAACTCATGAGAGATTCGTGTTTACAACTATTGTTTAAGAAAAGTTTTTAATTCAACATACAAGCTGATAAATTAAAGTGGATATAAATTTGTTCATCTCACACCTGTTATTGTAGAAAGATCATTTTCTTATAAAATACTTCAAACTATGGAAGATGAGAAACAAATTCATTTTAATTTTAGTGCAGAACATGGTTACTTATCCATTTCCACTTTATTTATTTTGTTCATGTTTTCCATTATAATAATTGTAAAGCTTATTTCATTACAAATCGTGTTTCTATTAATTTCATATTTTGATTTTTAAAAAGTATCTCTTTACTAGATACTTTTTAGATACTTGTGCATGTTTTTAAGGTTTAACATGCACATTTTTAAAACATTTACATACTTATGGTTAATAATGTATCAATTTGTGTTTTTACTATTTTCATATTCATTTATTTAGGTTTTATTTATTTCTTTTTTGTTTATATTGTTAGTTAGTTATTTATCTTTTTCATATACAATCATCCAATATTGTTTTTATTCATTTGCTACTAAGCAAGTTCATATAATTTTGATATTTCAGTGATTGAAAAGTGATTTATATTATGTTTTTAACAATTATTTTTTTAGTTCACAACTATTTGTAGGTACTATCAATTACTTTGGTATAATTCAATTCTGATGTAACTAAATATTTAAGCTGTATTATTGCTTGTGGTATTTATGTGATTTTTAATGCATAAAATCTGGCTGTAATTATAACTATGGAAACTGTTGCCTGATTAAAAAGAAGTTTCAACATTGAAAAATACTCACGATACTCTTTATAAAATTTAATTAAAGCACTTTTAGTACATAAAGAGACATATACCTAAAATAATGGTTTCTTGAATGATAGAATAATAAATATTTAGTTTGTGAAAAATGTGCTAAAAACTAGAAAATATGACAGAAAATTTATTTCCTCGATAACGATTACTATGAGAACGTAAATAAACTGCTTCTAGAGTAATTTATAACAATACATATACAACTGGCAAGCAAACAGTAGCAAAACAAATTCTTTGATTCAATTATGAAAGAATGTTAATTATGATTATTTAATTCAGTCGTTAAGGAAATGAAGGTTCTTTACTAAAACCGAAGGATTTTTAAAGTATAAAAAGAGAGAAAGTGGTAGCTTACAACTCTTACTGAAACTACATTTAAGAATGGCAATATCAAATGTCGGCTAAAGAAGTTGAATAGACTCGATATAATGCAATAGGATTTCAAATGTTGACTTCCATGGTATAGCACAACAATCTGGCTAAAGTTATTAATCATCAAGCTGTTATTAATCACATAATAAATCACTCTTCAAAATAAACATTGCCTGATGACAGAAATGTTTAAAATTGTGGTAGACAAAATTTCTTAATAATAAGAACTCTATTAAGAACTAATACAGCTTCATAAGCTCCAGACTGCGAGATAGTATCCAAATATTGAAAAGGAACAGTAATTTCTTTCCACGAAGTAAACACACCAGATCTCATAGGGTAAGAACGAAATGCTATAACGCTCTGAACTGTTCTAATTTTATACAAATTTAATAATATATGCTTAATTAATGAACCACATTTTTGCCTCAGGCCCAAGAGAATATTTCCACAAAGTATTCCTTCATTGCAAAATTTGGAAAGTAATACATAAATAAAGATAATATGACATACATAATATATATCATACCTTAAACTCCTAAGTTGTTGTACCCTGAGATTCTTTTGTTTTGACTTGGGGATTGAAACCGAATTGGAAGTTGGTACAGGTGTAGTTGGCTGCGGAGTGGTGGTTGCCGAAGCTGGTTTGCCCTCTGTACAATTCTGGCACTTCCAGGGACCTTTCCCTTTTTTGTCGATTGAAGATGCAATACACTGCAGATGATAACATCTCGAACAAGATCCGCAACAAATGAGACAGATCTGAAAAAGGAAGTATAAGTATCGATTATCAGGAAAATGTAATTATCATATAACAAAATAATGTATTAATTAATAGAATTTGAATTACAGAATAAGTTAGTCTAGGCGTGGTCAAAAAATACTATATTATATAATAGTGTATTTTATTACATTGTCCAATGTTTTGACCTACATTGTAGGTCTTCTTCAGGCCTATGCCTATGTAAGATACAAACAATATATATTAATTATGGAAAGGTAATGGATTATTAAGATATTTGCAGTATTTTAAGAGTTATAGGTAGTAGGTATATTAAGGAAAATAATGATAATAATAATAAAAGTCAACTTTTATGTACTACATAGTCATCTACACATACTGAAACTTTATATAATTAATATATATTGTTTATATATAATTAAATAACTAATATATATTGTTTGTATCTTTTATAGGCTGATGATCTACAATGTAGATCAAAACATTGGACAATGTAATAAAATCTATTATATAATATAGTATTTTTGACCGTAACTATATCCTTTAAAGAGCATTGGCTGTTAGTGTTAAAGAGCTATAACACGCAGTTCACGATTTATATGGTCCTTTTATTAAACAGAACAGGTCGGTCTGCTGGACACAAGCATACTTCAACATAAAATTACACTATTTCTGTGTATGTAAATATAAATTATATAATTTCATTAGGTAAGTAGTATACAAAATAAGTAAGAACTAAATGCATGCGAACGGTAGCGCAGTATGAAACTATTTTGACATGTATTATCATACGTACTTGTAAACGATATATGCGACAGGTAATTGTCTAACAAGATTCTTATCAATATCAGACTAATTATTCGTCAAGTCCTAAAAGTAAATTGAAGCAACATATTTTAAAGTAAAACCATCGCCAGACAAGATAAGCAGAGCAAAATGATGCCATCATACTAAACTAGGGTTAATTACAGGGATACGCATTACCAACAAAAATTAATGTTTTAAATGATGAAATAGAATTTTCCACAAGATGTAATCTTTTTGAGTTGTATAAAAAATTTATATTTCATCATAACTCAATTTCCTGTATTTTCTCAGCGATGCACTGAATAAAAAGTTTAAGGGCTTCAAGGATAAGATTTTAGGCAACTGTCTTCAAAATCATTGACAGTTGGCCGTTTTTTCGATTCAATCAATAGAAAAAAGTCTTTTGGCTGTTGTGCAAAGGGTGTCCGATTTAACGCAGAGATAGAAACTCTACAATAAAAAAAAAGGGAACCAAATTGGTGAATCCGTTAAAAAGATAATTGTGGTGTAGGTACAAAAATAAAGTAACGACCTAAAATTATTCATTGACACAAGCAGCTCTAAAGAAAAGTAATGATCTGTTGGAACCGGATACTATATATGAGACTCGTTGACAATGCTTTATTCATCTTCATTATCGGATAAAAATGATTTAGCCAGAATTGAGCTCAACCACCAGGTTTTTCTTCCAATCAAGTATTTTTCGAGGAGGATCCCAATTCTAAGGCGACTGATTAAATAGAACAATAATCTGCCACATGGTGGAGTCCGAGTGGTAAGGAACGTCAAAACAAATATCACATCTAGTCAAAATACTAACCTAATAAAAATTCAACAAGTGTATAAACTGTGATATAAAAATGTTTAAGAAAAAAAAAAAAAAGAAACCCTTCTGCTGAAAATGGTAACTGGTAAATCAATAAAATACTGAATTCATTCACTAAGTTAAAATGTAAAAAAAAAAAATTTAAAGGCTTGATTAGCGATATTCTGCTTGGTACTTTTCACGAATGTTGGAACAGAAGAAATTTTTATGATACAGGAGAAACATAACACATATTAGGAGCAAAATAATTTTAGTGGATAGTGGCGCAGACTAAAATGAAAGTTCAAGTATTATGGAAAAGGGAATGGAGGTCAGACGACATGGTCTCAGGTTTCAATTGTTGAACAAGGCGAGATTTTTAGATAAAAGTGAGGTAAAGCAATTTACTGTTGGGACAATGCAGTTAAAACTAGTATTGCTACTGAAAGCAGTATTATTATTATATTATTAACCAATATATCATTTTCAAATAACAAATTATGAAACTATAAACCTGAAAGTTGATGGACAATCAAGATTAAAACTAATAGTCCATGATACAGACCGCTTTTTATCGAGTTATTAACATCCCTAAAATATTTTATTAGTTTTCAATCTGAAGTTCGCCAAACTTTGTCTATTTAATTTGGTACTAAAAACTGGTAAATACCCATTTGCTTTCCACTTGAACCCTAAGATAACCTGAGCACAAAGACAAGAAAAAAAGGGACCTTAAAAAATATTGATCCCTTTGACATGACCTACATCCTCAAATTGTCAAAATAAGGAGGTTATATAGGCCAAACGGCTCAATATTTTTGAAGGCTATCTTTTTTCTTGACTTTGTGCTCAATTTATCATAAGATCCAAGAGGAAACCAAATGGATGTTTAGCAGTTTTTAGTACCTAATTAAATAGACAAAGTTTGCCGACCTCCAGATTGAAAACGCACCAATTCCGAGAATGTTCATAAATAAAATATCTGTAGGTTACGATGAGATGAAGCTATTTACGAAATTTCAGCCGGATGTTAATGATTTGATAAGGGTCTGTACCACGGACAATGAGGTAAGGAGACAGAAGAGGAAAAAAGATTAAAGCATTCCGTTCCTTTTTTTTTCGGTTATAAGAAATAATAGTTTTTAGGACAAGAAATAATAGTTTTTAGGACGATAAATGAAAGTATCCATAAAAGCAACTGTGCCCATTCCCGTTAGGAACCAGAAACGCTTCGAAAAAAAACAACGACAGCACGGCTGACCGATGTTCGCTGGGACATCAATGCCACTAGCTCCAGATAAGAACCGACATTTTGCTGTGATACAGTAATGAATGAACTATCCTCAGACTCACCTTATCCTCGACCTTGGAGCAGACGGCACACAGGTTGCACTCCTCGCACTTCCAGAGGTTGCCCCTGGCGGAGAGGCTGATGAAGGTCTCCCCGACACAGGTCGGGTGGAGGCCGGTCCCGCAGGAGGCGCACTCGCTCAGCGGTTCTTCCACGCCCTCCCGGTTCTTCTTGGCGGTGCCGAGGCATTCCCCGCAGATAGGTAGGCTGAACTTCTGCAATACCAATAATATATCGTTAAGTCTGTGTATTTGTCAACAGAATAATATCAATTATTTATTTACTTCACTTAAAAATAATTACATAAAATGAAATTTATGATCAGCTAATTGCTTTCAGGATGTCTAGCTAAAACTTATTACGGAATTTCCTGACTTCTACAGGTATTCATAGAAAATTTGGATATATTAACAAACGGCATTGAATAACAAAGTAACTAACGACAAAAACAATGACTGTACAAGCTAGGCTATAGAATGACTTACAGTTTACTGTTGATGAATATAATTTATTTTGTAAAAAAAAAAGTTGTTTCGTGCTTGATTTGTTATTAATAACAATAATTATTTGTAATCGTTATACATAATCAGTACAACATTCAATATTTTTTAATATTATATGTAATCCACAAGTATATCTAGTGGAGGTCTTATAAAAATCTGTAATGATCTCTCTATTGCATACAGTTGAAATAAAAAAAAGAAGAGCTCAGCATAGCCTATGAAATATAAATATATAAGACTGTACAAAAAAAAAAAGCTGAAGAACTTCTATATTCACATAAATAAATATTTGTACACATTTACTTTACACAGAATAAATAGTATCAGCAATGAAAGGAATAACGGAATATTCAGGCAGGAACTATAAATCCTCTCAGTGAAAAATGCATGTATACTGAAAAATGAACGACTGTCAAGAAGGGCCATTATAGCTTCCTCATCATTTCAATTGGTTACACAAAGTCTGAATTACACAAGGCCATTACAGAAAATCTGAACTAAATACAAAGTACTAAATAGAAGAAGAAGATCCTACAGATTCTAAATGTCCAAAGGAGAAGTTTATAATGAAAATAATGACGGCGGCATAAGAAAAAAAAAAATTCCTTAGCTATGTCCAGCACTGGTGAGCTTACCATACTATAAATAAAGATTTTCTTAATTTATTTTTTAACAAAATATTTTTTTTCGATGCTAAAATTAGAATAGAAAATATAGTTTTTCGCATTTTCTGAAAACTTGTCAATAATTATTAGGGCTCACTTTGGAAATAAACGATTCAATTCATTCTACACCTTTTACGATTGATTGAACATTATACACAATTTATAACGTTATAAAGCAGAGATTTTTATTATAAAAATACAGATAACACTTAACAGTGTCATTCTAATATTATGTGATAATTTGATCTCCTCGGGCTTCACATTCGTTTTTCTCATGTCTTTTCAAGTTGAAAAAAGGTAATGGTATTAATTTATTGTATTGTTTATAAAGAACGGAAAGGTGAAATTGAAATAAATCTACCGCAATCACAAGAGGAAATATCTCAACGTGAATGTAAAAAAAAAGGTAACGTATGTTACTGCCCAAAAGGTGAGGATGCGAAGTTCTTCAAGCTATGATCTGACATAATCTGTATCCATTAATTTTTAATCATGGATAATTTCACTGTTATGTGGTGGTATTTCGAATTATAGATACCATTTTTAGTTGTCTCAAATACTTTGATTGTAAAGAAGGAAAATTGGTTTGCCCCAAAAATTTGGATCAAAACATCGTAACTAGTATTGCCCAAATGCGAGACCGAGGCGAGTCTTGGTCTTGCGCAATAGTCTTGCAGTTACTTATTAGCTTATTACTACAGAGATATTACTGTAATTATTTAGATAGGAGAAACCTAAGTAAGCTCGAATGAAAAATTAGAGGAGTTAAATGCAAAAGTATATTGGTTATACCAATTATTAAAGTATAGTAACTAAGATTGTCAAGTATTAGTAACTATTTTGTCCTAATTTTTATTTAAAACATTTTTTTTTACCAGTCCTGATCTTGGTCTTGCAAACAGTTAGGCGGCCTTGGTGTTTTCGGCCCAAAAGATCGATTTTGGGCAACATTAATCGTAAAGAATGTTACAGGATTTTCTTACAACACTCTTCATTTAATATGACTGAAAATGGCTTAAAAACATCTGTCTGTACCGCCAGCTATCAGTCCATATATAATGTTGAGGCATAAAAGAGCTGGCTAGGAACTATAAATTTTTTCTTCCAAAATATGCTATGTCACAAAAATGATGCGCAACGATTGTTACCATAATTTTACTTAGCATTGTTCAATTAACACAGTAGTTTGGAGGCATTTATTTAGGGTTAAGGTTTCATATCTTTCCAAAATTTGGTTCAATCAGTAACAGCGATTTTGTATGAAAACGCAACGAATGTTACTATTATTCGTATAAATTTAATATTATTTATTTGTATGGTTCCTACTAGCAATTGATCATATCAGTATTTTTATTATAAACATTTATATATATATATATATATATATATATATATATAATATATATATATATATATATATATATATATATATATATATATATATATAAACACAGAGAATATGAGGTTTTCTTTTTGTATTTTCTATATATATATATATGGTGTGATTTTGTTCATTTATCACTATAATTATTGTCCACGAGACAGAATATTATATATCTAAATAAATAAATAAATAAAAAATTGGTTTTCTGATAGGCATTGATGAAAAAAATGAAAATTACTTTTTTTTCCTCTTCTCATGTTGACTCCAAGTATGGTTTGATTTTATCTTTATTATATTCATGGGCATTATATATTTCTATTATACTAATAAAGTTTGTTTATTTAAACTGTTTGAAGAAAAACATCCTTGTTTAATAAGCTTCAAGTCCATATTAATTAAGTTAAGGTTTAAAAAAATTAAACTAATATTAGGAAAAGTGAATATCGAATCGAAGCTCAAGTCTGTTATCTAGGATATCTATACTATATCTCAAATATTAATTTGAGATTAGTTTTTTTTCAAAAAGTTGATATTTTTCTTAACCCGAATAGCTAGATTCAGAAATGCTAAATCGTCAAATAATATTAGAATGACGTTTCGCCAGTTCGAAGAACATTGAAACTCATCATAAAATTAAGTTGATCATTCAAACAAACCAAATCGGGTTAAACGTTTTGATTGAAAAAGAAAGAAGTGTGGATGAGGAAAGGTGTCAGGCTGAAGTGGGCCAGGTGACACAAGCACCTAGCCGGGAGAGCTGATGGAGGTTAGTTTCTAATAGAACTAGGAGTGTATCGATAGAAAGCTGCCATTTGCAGCTCAGACTTCCTCTTAAGGTAGCCTACTTAACTAGATGGATGGCTGTATCAGTTCTAGGACGGCGGTAACTAGTATGTATTGATTCACCACCTGGAAATAGAAAATTCAAAGGAAATAGTTTTCATTATTGAATACCACCAGTAGTTTCCAAGGGCGACGGTACCTTACTCGAATAGTCACAGAATAACGGGGCTTTGGTTAGATTCTATATCGAACTCCATCTGGTTTTGATCTAAATATCAATAAAAATGATCGCGCCTCGATGTTTTTACTTAATATTTTAAAGAAGGCACAGGCGAATCTACGGGGGAAGGGGCTGAAGCTTCCCTCCTCCCCCAAAAAATTAAATCCTAGATCCACTAGTGAAAGGAGGGAAATAATGTTGACATTGGGGTACTAGATCTGTAGCAGCTTTAAACCAGAACCACTACAACCCATGAAGGGTCTTGATTCAGTATTTTGAAAGACAGTATTGTTTCATGGTCAACAGTTGAGCAAGGAGCTGGTTTGACTGACATCACGCTCAGCCTCCAGTTTTTCGCTCATAATTAATTAAAAGTACCCACTTTATAGAGGCTGGATGTGCCCAAGGAGGTTCTTCCGATCCACGGCTGTTGAAACAGAATAAATAATTATCTGCCGTCAGCCGAATTCGAACCCAGGACCTTGGACTAAGGAAGTCAGTACCGCACGACTGAGCTACTCTCCTTTCTGTATTAGATTTTATAACAATATTAATATAATACTTATTTCTTTTGAGTTTGATAGCTAGCACGATAGTTAGAGTATAGCTAGCAACTATCGCAGCCATCTCGATTGAGTAACAGTAGCACAATATGGCTTTTCCTGTCAGAGTAAAATTATCACACGATCAATCATATGTTGTTTTTTTTAAAAACAGTTAACTTATATGACATTGTAAACTGTAATGGTGATCGTACGGAAAAACATTGTTTTCATATATTGCCAGTTTTCTATTATTTCTGAACATCGATGCTTATCTCAATTTCCATTAAATCTATTAGGATTCAATTTGAAAATAAGCGACTCGACAATTCTATATCAACCATTTTCTCGAATATCACTAATTGACTGTCAGCTGGTATGGCAGTAAGGCACTGGCGCAGCCTCACTATCGTGACATTTCTAATAAGATAGAAATTAGGCAGATGTCCCAATAATCGAAGGCGGGATCAGCGGGAACCAACTGTACTCGGATTGAGTTCGGTCTGTCAAAATCGACAATAGAATAATGACATGTCAGGCAAGAGGAAACGAAAATAACCATTATCCCTTATCATACATAGTACTGGCATATGTAAATAAATAAATAAATAAAAATCAGTTTGGATTATTAATCCATGTCGTATTGAGCATACTTTTGAAGTTCTCAGATATTGTGCTATGCCAGAGTAATTTGCCATGAAACCAATTATTTTGAGTCCGCATGTATTCGTCGAAAGTTGGCATGGTATATAAGTACGCAAAGTTGTGTAATATACGTACGTCTTTTCTTACAGTACCCAAAATTTACGAGACTGTAAGAACAAACTGATTTAAATATATGTGCATGTATTTTATTTTCATACTATGGGAAACACCAGCGTCTTGTTTTTTTTATTTAAGGCGTTCGTCCAGCGTATTTCCTTATTCGCAATCCTTTATTAAATGAAAGGGAAGGACTTAGAAACGATAAGGAAATGTAATTATAAAAGTATAATAAAATTCAGAGCATCATTAGGAGGCAATTAACCACGAGATACAGCTGACGACAGATGACGGATGATGACATTCGGTTAGGAGCAGACCAAGGCATGCGCTTCCCGCACAAAATCAATAGAGCT